TTTTTAAATTGAAAATAGAGTTAAATGTCTCTATCCAAATTTCACATTCCTATGGTGAAGTGATAATCACATTTTTTATTTTTATTTTTTATGAGGCCTGTCCACAAACAACAAAAAGCAAAATAAATGAGAGCTTTGAATTGACTCGAATGCATAGCTCAAGTTAACAATTTAGTGTGTAGAGAATGCTTAACAGAGACTAAGACTACTCAACAATTGGGACATAAATGGAATTACATTTTTGTATGTGGATTTGTGAAGGGTATTTAAGGTATTAAAAATGTACAACTTACTATCCCTCCCTATCTTCTCAATTTATGAGAGAAAGTCTTTCTCTCTACTTAAACTACCTAACTACACTTTTACACTATCCTCTCTTTTCTTTTCTCCCCCTATCCCTCCAAATCAACCTTATCAAACACACCCTAAATTCTTGATGGACTGTTTCGGCTTATAAAAATCATGCGCCACGTGGCGTGTAATGACAAGCCTTAAGAAGAATGAAAAAAAAAAAAAATCTAAGCCCCAATCCCAACGCAAAGTCACGTGAGTCTGTGGTGCTGGCGATCAATCTGGCAACCGATCTCTTGATTACTCGACCTGTGGGCTCCACTCGGTAATCAAATCCTCTCCTCCCACTGACTGCACGTGGCAAGACGTGCCAACGGACTATGTACCAAACATGTGACATGGCATGGGCCCACCTCCGTGGACTCACACAACCACCGCTCATCGCGCCGGGCAGTGCCACATCAGCCATAACTCCATCAAAGTTTCATTACCAGACCACCCATGTAGAAACAGTTGTTTAGTGTGGCATGAATGGGTAATTTCGTCATTAAAGTGGGGTTAACGAAAGTTAAGCTGTCATTTCCTTCATCTACCTCATAAATATTAAATACACATACGTGACAACCAACATGTTATAAGATAAGAAATGTCAATCCCAGCCTCATCATTTACTATAGCTTGAAACAAACTACCGACGGATGAAGACAATGAAGGACCAACCATTTGCTTAAAATATTAAATGTATGGGCTTCAATGTTTGAACTTTGAATAAATGAAAGACTCCCAAAATAAAACTCAATCACGTTTATGACTTTAACATCCAAAAAAAATCTACTTTTTTAATTAAATTATGACTTTAAAATCCAAATAAATTTATTTATTATTATTTTTTTTTGTCCTCGTCCACAATATCAGACCTCGTAAAACCTATCATATTTTATGGGATGCATACAGAAAAATATCGGACTAACTCCTAAAAAATTCAACAAAAATCTACTAATCACTTAGGTTAAGAAAAATAATATACTAATCAACCTTAGATATTTAAGGTATTTATCAAATAAATTTACCACAAAAAAAAAAAAAACCCTTAGATATTTGACCGATAATGAAGTCCATGTTTTATAGACATTGGCAATATTTGAGAGCCATTTTCACTTGAATATATTATGTACAATCAAAAAAATTTAGGTTTTTTTTAGCATCTCAAATGTTGGGCGTATGAATATATATACATATATATAGACATGATTTTAGATTAAGCATGTTCACTTCAATAGGGCGCAGTGTCACGTGCTCTTGCCCTAAATTCACATACAAGGGCCACATTTTGTTTTACAAACACATGGGAAAGTTCGGGTGAGTATCAATTATTTCATTAAATTAAAGGAAATTAATCTCTCAACACCGACAAAAATAACATGTGATCTAGAGTTTATTTTTTTTTGTTTTTTTTTTCAATTTTAAAAAATTAATGGTACTTTTAAATTATTGCTCCTTGCAGAGCTAGTCGGTGACCATTACAAAACACGTATTGACAACTATGTTGCCATGTATATTATACACTTTACAGTACGTTTGAACCAATGCCTTGTTGTATTACAAACTAAATGTGCCAATTAAAAATTAAATAAGTCATATACAAAATAAAATAGTTTTAGAAAGCGAGTGCATCAATGTCTTGATGTAGACATAGTGTTTGTATGAGAGGTTTAATGTTCAACACGATGTCAATTCTTCAATTTCGACTCACTCAATACCTGTAATTGAAGCGTGATTACATGTATGTGGATGTGATAGATAGAAATCTTATATTGAAAGATGTACGTTGAATATTCGGAGTTATTTAAAAAATTAAAATATTTAAAAAAAACTATACTCACTTATGGTGACAAGTTGGCACTTTCCGTAATTATTTATTATACATCTTAATTAATATGAGGTTACATTATTCAGTAAATAAAATAAAATTTAGGTTAATATCCCATATCCACTTTATTCCTTACATTCCAATTAAGTGATTGAAATTGAAATGGCAATCATAGACTCGTAGTCCTTGTATTGCGGATTATAATTTATAAAAATGTTTAGGATAAATTGCACTCACACTTTTGAATTTTCAGGCAATACTATTAAGCGGACGGTCAACGCATAAGTTTACATTGACATCCCCTGAAGTTTCAAAAGTTTACACACACTCCATCTAGGCCTGTGACACCCGAGAAAATGACCATTTAACACTTTATTTGACTTTCTTATAGATCTACAGTGTTCTCACTTTTTATACTCGAAAAATAATATATGTAAGATAAAAGAGTTTTATGTTCAAAATAAAATATGAAATCTGAAAATTATATATCATGCTCAACTTAAGACTTAAGAGTGCTAAAATATACAATAATTTGCACTTTTTTTCCTTTTTTTCTCTGGGTATGGGACCATATATTGTTTCATCATGGAAACATTTTTTTGTCCCCACATCATGGCAACATTATGGTCTTATCACTGGCACTAGTGCATCAAGCCTATAGCTTCATACAATAATAATAATAAAAAAAATTACCCAACTAATTAAATTATCTTTAAAGAGAAGTCTTTCCTAAGAAAGTTGATTCATAGAGTGCAACCCACGTTAGTTAAGAGAGAAAAAATGCATGAAGCCCCAACCCATTCAATATTGAATTGAGAGAGTGAGTGTGTGTGTGTGTGTGTGAGAGAGAGAGAGAGAGAAAGAAAGAGAGATATGAGTAATGTTGAAGAGATTGATGCAAAGAGTACACATCAAGTTATTTAAAAATGGTGAGAGGGAGATAAGCTAGGGCATGGGAATGAGACCCAATTTTAAGACAAGCTCCTGTTGGGTAGTCACTTTTATTATTATCCTTTTCTCAATTTTGAAATATGTGTGGTCGTGTTTCTTCATTTCAAATTCCAATTTAATGCTTTTGAATTTTATTTATATATTTTGGTAGAATTTAATGCTTTTGAATTTTATTTATTTGTGTTGGTATGCCTTTCTAGTTGTGAAGGCGCACCAGTAATACTGGTTTAATTGTTTGAGGGTAAATTTGAAAAGTTTGATTATTGTTTAAATCACTTAATAGAATACACTTTAATTTTTTAATTTTTAAATTTTTGTGTTTTTAACATTTATTTCAAGTATAAAATATTTGTAAGTGTTCAAGTAATTGGGTTGCCTTCTGTTTCTAAAAACTCAAAAGAAGTATAAAATATTTTATAACAAAACTGCCATTCTCTTTTTCATATGTATAATATCGTGAATTATTGTGAATGTAAAATATTAAAAAATGTTATTAGTAAAAAGATGACGAGATTCACAATTGATATAAGAATAAAAGCGGTAAGATGTCACATAACACACTTATAAAAATGTACATATGTTCATAGTTATATACTATTATTTTCACACAATTGGTTATTGACCTTTTGAACAATACTGTACATGGTATACAAAGGGAGACAGAACTCATATATTTTTGGACCTAAATTCTTTTCAATGCACTTATTTTTTATTTATTTATTTATTTTGTTTCAAAATTTCAAGTATAAAGTCATTTTGTTTTAATAATTGATATAGAGAGAAATTTTTGATCCCTTGTACATTTTAGTTAGAAAAAACTTAAACCTGGTACTTTATTAAGTATCAAATTTTGAATTATATCCTCATTAAGTGCAAGTAATTGGGATATTACCGTAACATAATCCGAGCTTTCCGAATTCATGAGAGGAGTCGCCTTGCATAAATCTCAAGAATTAGTTTGGACAAATTCTCAGTTATCCTCATTTTTTAGAAAAAGAAAAAAAAACAATACGTAGTAAAAATTAAAAAAGAAACTGCAGTTTTCATGCGAGGCAAATTCATTAAACGCACTTTCCAGAGAGAGAGAGAGAGAGAAAAAAAAAAAAAAAAATTCATTAAACGCGTCTCCAGTTGTTTTGATCCTCCTCTTCTGTTTCATTTTCACTTTATAGCTATGCCCACACTTTACCCAATCACAGTGTTAACACGCGCTGTTTTTATTGGTGTGATGACATCAAAAATAAACTTATATAGCATTTGATTCGACAGCGCACAATACGCGCGAAATCAAAGCAGGACAAGAAAACACCCAAAATGAATTTTCCGCATTAAATTACGAAAGTAATAAATATGTGTCGAAAATAACGGCTTCCTCGGAATCTTTACATCTATTTGATTTTACTATTGTGATCTTATAAATTTCCATGGATCTGATTGTTACATATACAATATACAATATTACAAAATCTTACTATTCTCAATCGGATTTTATAAATGCTCATAAATTTGATACAAATCTCTTACAATCTTGCTATCTCTAAACTCACCATTTTTACCCAATTATTTTCCTCTTTTAGGTCTGAAAATCCGTGGATTAATACGGAGTAATATACATATAATCCATGTGTATATATGTATGTATATACATTATACATGTACGTATATCATTTTGAATAGATTTTAAATTGTAAATAAAGGGAGGCTGGAGGGGGAGCGGTGGGAGGGAGGTGGGGAGGTGTGGGACCCGTGGGTGAAATGAGAGCAATCAGAGGAGAGACAAGGGTAGGGTTTTTAGAGAGAGAAAGGTAGGGTTTTAGAGAGAGAAAGGAGGAGGGGGGAAGGGAATGGCATTGAACAAGACTTAAACATCAAGACAGTGAAGGGATACTAAAAGACAGCTAGCAATGAAGGAGGAGGCTCACCTACTTTCATTCTAAACCCTCTCCTCCTTTCTCTCTCTCACTTCCCTCTCTTATTAGACTTCCTTTCTGTCTTTCCTCTCTTCAAATTCCACCCCTTCTCCCCTCTCCCTCTTTTCCTCTCTCTTTGGTTGTTTCTCAGTTGAGCACTATATATATATATATATTTATATAGTTGTAGGGTTTAAATAGTAGAAACTTTAGGGTTTTGTTTGCCCTGGACTGTTTCATAGAAGTTTTTGCCAAACATTTTTGAGATTCTGCTTCAGTTTCTAGGGTTTTTGGACCAGGATTATGGTTTAAGCTCAGGTTTGGCTCTGCATTTTGTGGATTTTACTTCCAATTTCTGCCCAAAATCAAAATTTTCTTTTAATTTCCTGGAATTTTTGAACAACTTGTGTGCATTTTCATTCCTGGGAAAAAAAATTATACCCTCTGGTTGGTTGCTGTGAAAACAGAGGAGAGTGATAGTTTAAGAGATTTAATTCATTTACTCTTTTGCTCCTAAAGTATGAAACATTTAATTTACATTAGCCAAATTCTTCGTGTTGGGCTAAGTTGGTGGATATTTTATTTGTTTTAAATAATTTTGTGTACAAGTTGTGATTCCCCCTATTTCCTACATTTTCTTAGTAGCCAAACATAGCCGTTTCTCTTTCTGCTTTGTACCTTCGTTTTTCTAATTTTGCCTCATTTTCTCTTGCAGGAATTAGACCAGTGAAAACTTAGTCCTAAGGAATTCGCTCACTGAAATTCTCTACATTCCAGTCCAAATTTGTATTTGCACAAAGCCTAAGGTTTATTTTCTTCTTTTATTTTTACTTTATTTTCCTGAATTTTCTATCTAGAAGAAAAAGTATAGGAAAAATAAATACATAATTTTTTTAGGACCACTTTTACTTTTCACCAATTAAGAGAGATTTTCCCTGAATTTTAGTTATAAATTACTAGTATAAAAAAAAAAAAAATTGAAAATACTTTTTCAACTTTTGCTAACATGCGCTCATGGCCCATGTGCTGGCGAGAATCATTCTCACATTGTCACTAGCCGGGGACAAGGTGGACCAGAGCAATTTTTTCTTGCACGCTACATAGCTCACTCAAGGATCTTCTCATCCTCAATTCTCACTTTCCTTCGCGTTTTCTTGGTTTTTTTTTTTTTTTTTTTTTTTTTTCTCAGAAAATTAGGAAAGAATGATTGGACCAAATTACATAGACGAAATAGACTGCTTCTTCGATCAAATTGAAGACTTAGTAGAATTTCCTCCTGAAAACGAAGGACAACTCGGTGCCGGCCATTGCAATGATTTCCCGAGCATTTGGACGAATCCTCCGGAAGCCTTGCCGGTCTCTGACCCCATTTTCTCCTGCAACAACAACAGCAATAGCGCTTCAGACCTGTCGGCTGAACTTTCTGTTCCGGTGAGTCATTCAGAATTGTGTCATTTGACTCATTTAGTCATTTTAGTTTTGTAGAAATTTCATTAATTTCCAACACAGGGTATGTTAATATCATGCATATGAGTAGATTATGACACCATTTTACCATTTCACTACCATATGGTCATTGATATTTACATGGTATCTTGATATAAAGAGGTCTATATTTATATATTATTCCTCTATTTGATGCATACACAAACCTGGTTCATAATTAAAGAGGTTGTTCAAAAATTCAAATCCTAAAGAAACAAATTAGTTAATTTGCAATTTCAATTTTTATGGTTGATAAAATATTATACATTGGGCAGTGTTAATAATTCAAATTCTCCTGTCCTTGTCAATTTCTGGGTTTTTAAAAAAAAAAAATAAATAAAAATAAAATAAATCCGTGTCCATAGTCCATACTACATAAATGAAAATGTGAATGTCACATCACAACTGTCGGTTATTTGTTGACAGGAATATTTAAAGGTCTATGGTCCTGTGACTCATATGCTGCTAGCCAAATAATTTCAACAGTGTGAATCAATCAATTATTTATGCACTTGCTCTGGTGGGGTGAATTTAGTTCTAGCTGTATGCCAATTAAAACCCTTCAATTTAGCAGTGAAATGGCTCAACACCCTTCTGGTACATATAGTTGCATTAAAGGCAATTTATGGTGCTAAAATGGTGTTACTGAGTCACACTTGAGAGTCAAGGTTTGAGAAGGTTATATCCGTGAAATTATTACATGGTTCGGGACTATATCGTCCCGGCCAATTACAAGTTGACAGGCAAGCAAAAAGCTGAATGAAACTGACACATTTGCTTGCATGTCAACTTGTGATTGTCTGGGTCCATGTAATAGTTTCTCCAGTTGTTTGGGAACTTAAAGTCTCTGTGCAGACACAAGAATGAATGACAATCCATTAATGCATATCAAATTGTGCCTGCTGTATTGTTGTGTGAACTATTTCTCTTACCGTTATGTAACTTCTCCACTTTTCAAACTTTCTGCAGCAACTGAAAGGATTAACTGTTAAAAATTCTATCATTATACAATGGAACATGCACACGTTTGGCATTGACTGTCCATCAATTTCTTGTTTTATTTGCCGACTCTGGTCATTTTTATATCATTCTTCACCAATTAACTTAAGAAGATTGAATCCGAAGCAAGATGTTGCTATATTTGTCTAGTGTTGGTTTGTTTCGATGAATTTGGAACGTGTACTCCCACTTCTCATCTGATTCCTTGTGCTCTCTTTTCTAATTTTTGACAGTATGAAGACATCGTGCAGCTCGAATGGCTTTCAACCTTCGTTGAGGATTCCTTCTCTGGTGGAGGTATGACTATAAATCAAGAAGAGAAGTCTTCTGTCACCGAAATGGCATCCCACAAGCAGTTCCAAACCTCCAGCCCTGTTTCTGTCCTCGAGAGCAGCAGCAGCAGCAGCTCTTGCTCGGGGGAAAAGACAAGGCCGCTGAGCCCAACTCGTCTTGGTCCTCAACGTGCTCGCAGCAAACGCCCTCGCCCTGCAACCTTTAATCCCCGCCCTGCAATGCAACTTATCTCCCCTACCTCCTCTGTAACCGAGACCCCCCAGCCGTACCTTGCTCCGGTACGTTCCTCAGAATCAGAGAACTTCGCAGAGTCTCGTCCTATGAAGAACATACTGAAGCCATCCGCTGTGAAATACAAGAAAAGGAAAATCAAGTTGTCGCTTCCATTGGGGTCAGTGGAGATGAATCAGAATCCAACCTCGCAGTCAGTTAGGAAATGCATGCATTGCGAGATAACCAAGACCCCCCAATGGAGGGCAGGGCCAATGGGGCCAAAAACTCTCTGCAATGCCTGTGGTGTCCGTTACAAATCAGGTCGTCTCTTCCCTGAATACCGCCCTGCAGCGAGTCCAACATTCATCCCATCCGTGCACTCCAATTCACATAAGAAGGTTCTCGAGATGAGACGACAGGACATTGAGCCAACTTATTCCATGGATGGAACAGTGACAACCACCGAGCCGGAGCCGGAGCTTATTCCAAATTGCAACTTATTGCTGGATTAGAAGTGAGGGAGGGGGATATAAGGGAAATGTTTCCAAGCTGGAATCCTCTCTAAACTTCCTTCCTCTCCTTTTTTTAACTTTCAGTTCTGTCTCAAATTTGTCCATTGCATTGTTCATTTGTTCCTTCTACATAGATGTAATGTGAGTTAGGTGCAATATAGGTCATATTTTAGATGGTAGAGAAAAGCAATGAAGTGAGGGTACTTAAAAGGGGTAGATATAAATGAATGGTTTAGGTTTTAGGGTTCAGTCCTCAGGGTCAGTGATGCTTAGGTCCTTAGGATTAGTAGGTGGAGTCAGTGTTCTCTCTCTATCTCTTTATCTTTTTTGCTTGGTTCTCTTTTTTTTTTTTTTTCCCCTTCCTCTAGGGAATTCTTTTTGCAGTTCATTTGTTTGTAGGAAATTATGAGATGAGTAATGGGATTTGAATTTCATGTTATCTTTCTTTCTACTTCCTTTTTTTGATCGATAGCTCTTTTTATCTTTCTTTGAATTATTGAATTTCTCAACTATTTTGTTCCATCATGCCATAATTGCCTGGCAAATTCAAATGGAACTATAGTCACGGGCAGGTATTTAGGGCTGAATTTTCTGATATTGGAAAGGCAATTTATATTTGGGCTCCACTTTTTTCTTCTTAAAATAAAATAACAAAAGAACCCTTACACAACAAAAAAAGTTTAGTTCTTATATTTTTAATACCATAATTACCCTTCTCTTATTAAAGTGTTACTTTTTCAATTCTTATGTCCTATCCCCTCTTTCGACCTCTTTTGGAAATCCAACTCCTTTTTTTAGCGTAGTATTCCAATTAGCATTTTCTCTTACGTTATCTTCCTCATCAAAATTTGACGAAAAGACCAAGCTTGGAATTTTCATCTTCTTCTTGTTGTCATGTCAATCCTAAACATCAAAATGAAAATTTCAAGCTTAGTTTTGTTGTCAACTTTTGATCCCCTTAGTATTCCAATAGCATTTTCTCTTATGTTATCTTCCTCATCAAAATTTGACGAACAGACTAAGCTTGGAATTTTCATCTTCTTCTTATTGTCATGTCAATCCTAAAACATCAAAATGAAAATTTCAAGCTTAGTTTTGTCGTCAACTTTTGATCCCCTTAGTATTCCAATTAGCATTTTCTCTTACGTTATCTTCTTCATCAAAATTTGACGAAAGGAAAGCTTGAAATTTTCATCTTCTTCTTGTTTTCATGTCAATCCTAAAACATCAAAATGAAAATTTCAAAGCTTAGTTTTGTCGTCAACTTTTGATCTGAGTTGTTGTGTTGTTATGGACATTGGTCTTTACTGGTGCAGTCTTTGTACTGCTGTTTTGGTTCATCTATGAAAACCTTGTGGTATGTTGTTGATGTTTTGGTTCATGCATTGTTGAATATTGTGTTGCTGCAATGTTATGATGGGCTTGGGACATTCTTCTTGTTGTGTTGGTACATGCATCATAATATTTTCAATTCTTTATTGCTACTTAGACTATGAAATGAGACTTTCCAACAATTTAAATTTTTTTTTTTTTTCATAATTATTTTCATTTCATTCACTTTAATTTTATTTTATTTTCACTTTACAATATTAATTTTCATCTAACCAAACACTCTCCCATTCCAAAACTAATAATAATAAATAACACCAGTACAATTACTGATATCTTTGTTTCATTTCTTATTTTCTATTCTAAAAGAATACACTGCATTCTAAAATGTGGCTATTTTTATTTATTTTTTTAAATTCCAAAAATCATATATCCACTCATTTTGCCAAAACTGCATTGATAATTGCAACTTACACGTTTACCCAAAAAAAAAAAAAAAAAACAAACTTTAGTAATATAAGAATAGTGCATGTAATGTAACTCTTCCTATCTATCTCTATAGTAAAATGAAATATGGATACTGTGCATACAATTTATCTCTATTTTTTATTTTGACATAGTACAACACCTCAATGATAAAAGGGTATATTTGTTATTTAAAGTCATTTGCCCGACTTTTGGACCCTCTCAATATTGTAGCACTCACTAACTAATTCCGTCATATCTCATCAATCTCCTTTTGTAATGAAGAGATAACGGATTTAGCTATACATATTATCAAAAACTTGATTACACACGACATTAACGTTTAATTAGTGAATTTAGTGTGTGTGACACTCTAGTAATAGAATCGCTGAGGGTAAATTAAAACAATGTTATTTTATTCTTTGAAATGAAATTTATTGTTTTTATTAGTGAGTAAAAATTGGTCAAAATTAAAAGTGGTAAAAATTGTAAAAGAAATTTTGTAAAATCGTACCAATGAAGAGGGATTGATTCTAAAGATTTTGAGAATTGTGCCAACAAAAATGTGGTGAATTTTACTATTTTAATTAATGAGCAAACTAGTAAAATTCACAATTAATAGTGGGGAAAATTATAAAATAAAAATTGTAAAAGAAATTTATCGTTTTTATTAGTGAATATGATATATTTTGCAGGCCCAACTCTTTTAACCAAAAGAGTTGGGCCTGTTGTTCCAGATAAGATCGGGTCCCTGGAGTGGATACAAAATTTTAGACATCTGCCGTCTGATTTTACAACTTTGCGTCCCACGTGGATATTCGCACCGTGCGTCTTATACAACTCATCGCATGTTCTTGCTTACCTGCCCCTTCCTCTCACTGTTCTTGTTCCTCTCTCTCTCCGCCAGTTTCTTTCCCAATCTGACCAAATTGCAATTCGCGTGACATCGTTCATCAAATGGCGGGTAAACTTTTGATTAAGTTTCGTTCTCTGTTTCGTCTTCATCTTTTAATTCTTCGTCATATTACTTCCCATTATTGTTTAATTCTCATGATTTTGTTTTCTATTTCCCTTTCAATTGTATAATTTCAGTAGATTTTGAGCTCTTTTTTTTTTTAATTTTTTATCTCAATTCATATAGCAAGAATTACGAGTTGTTGTGAATTAATCTGTTGCTGAATGAGGTAATATTGTTATTAATATGCGAATTCACATACAAAAACATGTATATTGTAGTATTATTAATTTGGCATGAGAGGTGAAAAGAATTTGTGGATTGCTCGTTTGTTAATCTGAATGAATTACAATTTGTATGGTGGAGTGTTAGGTGTTGGTCTCTATCTAAATTGTTTTAATTTATCTAATCTTGTAAAATTAGTAAATTTGACTTTTTTTTAAAAAAAATTTATTTTTTCTTCTAAAGTCTAAACAGACGCACACGCACACACTACATTTGACATTGTTGATGTTGAATTTATAAAGTTTTACTGGACGAAGAGAAAATAAAAAAAGAATTGCTTAAGTTTTCGATTTTTCACCTATACCAAGAGTTGGGATTGTGATACAAGGTGGTTGACATTACCATGTGAAAAATCATCTTATTAAACAGATTTCTTACTGTAACAATGCCTTGTTGCGTTCGACATTGGTATTTTACAGAACTTGAGGTGTCCATGTAAATACCTGTTTATTAATCTCTGTCTGCGAGTGAACTTGAGTTTACATTTTCATGATCAATTGAAGGCTGCATGAAGTTATCCGTGAAGAGTGGTGATGGATTATATTTTGAAGTTTTCGTTTGTTCTGTTATGAGTTTCTTTTTGCATTATGTGTTGCCTTTCACTCCAAATTCAGTCTTTGCTTACACTAGTTTGACTTATGGCCGGTGCCTCCTGTGGCTCTTGCCTTTCTTTTCACTACTTGATACAATGGGATAGGATGTGGAATGTAATAGATGCTATTATCTGTGATTGTTTGGAATTATCTTGTTTTACTCTCTGCTAACCTTCCGAACCAATCATTCACTGGAACTGGGATGGAAATGGTTGTACATGGCAGCAAACAATGCCATGCATGTGGGAAAGTTGTCTCTGTCTATTATATGTTATATGTTGTCATTGCACATGCACAATGCACAAACATGGATTAGTCCTCAGAAATGTATATAAGACCTTTATTTATGAAGTATACTTTATTGATGGAAATTGTAGAGTTGTAAGGAGTTAGTGATTGTTGTTAATAGTCAGAGGAGTGTCTGGTGTTGTTCTTTATGTACAAGCCTTCCAAACTCATTAAACAATCGTAAAGGACTATATTAAACAAAAGAAATAAAAAAGTGAGCTTCAAAAAACCAAATTTTATAATAGCATTGGGGAATTTTGGAGATGAGTTTTAAAATGTCAAGACAAGTTATTAGAAAAGGCAATACGTAAATTACTTAGTTGCGACTTTACGCCTTCAACAAACAATTTACTTAAGGTTTTCTTTTTGTGTCCTTTTGCATCGTCTTGGAGCCTGACATATCAAGAATTAAAGTCCAAGATAGATTTGCAATGATAATCATAATTCTAACTTCCAATTAAGTTGTTACTAATCTGAAATCTGATAAATTTCATGCAGCAATGTCAGGGAAGATTGTCCAAAAATTTTTGTTTGTGCAGTGCTGCCAACAGAATAGGCAGTCAAGCACCCTGTACCGAAGGGACTGTTGTACCCCTAATATGCACAATATGCTTCCCCTTCAAGGAGGGAAATTCGCATGGACTGGAATCTCTGCCATGCAATTGCGTACCTTGTCAAAAAATCAGACTGGTTTTATTAACCGAGGAACAGTATACTGCAACGGTCTGTTCTAGACTCTCACTACCCAGGTTGATATCAAGTGCAATCATAGCATTTTAGACACACTTAAAATACTTCAACAAATCTGGCTCTCATTATAAATTTTGTCAACTAATTTTTATTTTTTTATCAAGCATAACTTTTGATTTTGTGTCTTGACAGTCTTGTTTATCAGAATGATGGTTGACTACATAACTTTTCTATCATCTTTTCAATTACAAAATTGTAATTATAAAAGGGCTTTTCTTGCAGCTGCTCCATCTACTGCTGCTATTCCATCTCTTGAAAAAGTTAATTTCCTAAAGCTTCAAAATGGCAGGTAGAGAAAATGCCACTATGGGATGTCATTTCAATTTAGTTTGGTGTGTCTTTAATATGAATTTTTGGAATCTCGTTGGAACATTACTGTCAGGAATATCTTTTACATTACTCTGGTTCTTGTTTTCTTCTAATATGCATGTGTCTTTGACATTACCGTATCTTTTTATTTAATTCCTTCTGGCAAGTTAGATATCCATCAATTTGACCTAATAGGAGAATTGGATTAAAAAACAAATTGTGACATTGTTGTGTTAATTACTAAAGCATCGATGCTGATGGCTAAAAGAACCATTTACACATGACATGTGGATTGTTACTGGATCTTCTACTTTTGGTGCGTAACATGTGGATTGTTACTGGTTTGGATGCATTCGACTCGGATCTTTTTTTCTCAAGTTGTTTCCTTCCCCAACTCCCCGTTCTCCTTGGGGTGTGAATCCTGCCATCCTCTATGGGGATAGATTCCACCTTTGGCTATCTAGCCGGTGGTTTCAGCTCCTAATTATTTACTCATTTGTCCGTACAGTTTGACACTGTTTTACCTGAGGATATGGATGCATTCAACATAGTTCGGCAGAATATGCTAAAGTGATGGAATCAATCATCCAGTACTTAATCTGAGTTTGTCGAATGTGTACTATTCCGACTATATAGTGTTTTGATCGAGTTTGATGTATCAAATTAGCAACCACAATAATTAAAATGCCAAACGTCACTATACATCATACGTTGTAATATAACAATATAACGTGAGTACATATATACATCTTAAATACATGCATACTCGTATGGGAACATGCATATGCATGCAGGCGTATGATGCATATTGGTTTCCATGGACTAATTTTCCTCTGCACAGTGATATTCGAGGTGTTGCAATTGCTGGTGTTGAGGGAGAACCTGTTAACCTCACCCTACCAGTTACAGAAGCAATAGCGGCTGCATTTGCTGCATGGTTATTGGACAAGAAAAAACCTGCTGGATCTAAACGCCTGAGAGTTTCTATTGGCCACGATTCTCGAATATCAGCACAAGAGCTACAGGTATCTATGTCTGATGTGTTTGTGAGTATGAGACAAATTTAGCTGCTAAGCACAGTAAATTTCACCATAAATAACTATTCTGATTTTTTCATTAATATTAGTCATTCCATTATTAATATAATACCTATATATGTTTGCTTTTGATTATATGTTTTTATTTAAGGATTTGTTGATAGTCCTGATTTGATCTATATTTGATTCTAAATGGAGAGAGAAGCTTCAGAACTTAATTGCACAAAGTGTCTGCTGTTAGATTTGGGCCCATGTTTGTTTTGTTTTGCTTTGTTTTTTCCTTATGGTAATCTGAGCTTTTGCCACTGAACCAAGTGCCCTTTAAACTTCTTCATGCATTAATTGAGGCAATTGTACAATGATGTGATGGAGATCGTGAGGTGTTCCACACCTATGTCAGGCGTTGGCGCAGGGATATTTTATTCGGGATATTTTAGTATTTTTACTTTTAGCGGAGAGTGATTATTTTTAGTAATTATTGGGATTTTATTTTATATTCTTTTATTATTGGGTTTTCCTATAAATGGCATTGGTGTAATAGACTTCAGTAGTTTTGGAGATTATTGCTTTCTCCGAGTTCTCTCAGTGTTCTTTTCCTTCACCCATTTCTGTTCTTGCTTTTCTCACCCATTCTGTCTATCCTGCCTATCTAATCAATCTGTTCTCACCCCCCTTCGTCTGTCTCCTCATCCCCTTCTTCTAGTCTATCTCTTCTTCTATTTTCTCATCCCTTTCTTTCTTTCTGGTTACTATTTTTTCTGCGTCATGATGCCTGCTGGATGTTCATGATCAGAACCTTACTTGGAGTGCACATTAGGTTTCAGCTGCTCTCCTCTTTTTTCCATATTTGCCTTCAAGGAAACTCAGAACCTTCACTTGTGACAAAACAGCTGGTCAAGCAGTTGAGGCTGGTGTTAGAAGCTAGGCCATAGATGATATCAATTTTTCAGATGTTGTATCATGGTTTGATTTGAAAGAGTAATTCACACAATTTCTTTCTGCATATTTAAAAGATTAAATGAATATCATTAAGATTGTGATACTTTTAAGTTTAAATATTAATGGATATTTAACCCAAACTTCTCGTATGAAGAACATATGATAACAAAATGGCATAATATCAATCAAGCCCACTTATTTTGTTTGAACTATTGACTTCAATAATTATAGATCTTAATTTTAATGCTTCTTTTTCTAATAGTAGGTAATTTTTTTCCTTCTCCAATATGTAGTAACTGATCTTCCCATGGTATCAGAAAGAAAAATTAAGAGAAAGATCCAGTCCTGGAAGAAACATACTGTTATCGCGTTGATTTCAAAATATTTACAATATACTCATTTACTATTCAGGAAAAAAATAAATAAATTAGTTACTGATAATTATATGATTCATTTTCAGGATGCAGTTTCTCGAGGAATTTCTGGTGGTGGTCTGGATGTCATTCAATATGGGTGATTATTTCTATTAATTGTGTTAATATTGTAGTATTTGGTGGGCTGTCTGTGCTTGAGGGTTTGTTCAAGTCATGGTTATTGGCCCCATGCTGGCTGGTAACCCAGTACATAAACTGCTCCGGCATAACCATTAACTTCTTCTTTTTTTTCTTTCTTTCTTTCTCTCTCTCTCTCTCTTTCTTTCTTTCTTTCTTTCTTTCTTTTTTCTTCTTCGTCTTCTTTTTTTTCTTTTTTTTTTTTTTTTTAACAGTGCCATAGGACAAGAGCTTGTTCCCTGAATGATCACTATGTGATCTATATGTTTTTTCTTGAGTTAAAATCATTCAAAAACGATACCATTAATTTTCTATTACTTTTTATCTGTATACATCCACACACACATGTATAATACATACCAACATAGAGAATGTGTTGTTTTCCTTATGAGTAATGACTGATAATAGCCAGGCCATACTGATAAATCTGATTTTGCCTTTTTAGCTTAGCGTCCACACCAGCAATGTTTAATAGCACACTTACTGAAGATGATGACTTCTTCTGTCCAGCTGATGGATCCATTATGATAACAGGTAAGTACTTGAGCATGTTCCTTCTAATAAATTTATGAAGTCACTCAAGTTGAAGTAAACCTTCTAATTTTTAAGCAGATGGCTTTAGATTGTATTTCTACTCACAATATAATCTTTATCTATATTTGAATGTCAGAAAATGCTGAACCATTATAATATATTATTTCATCTAATGAACTTTTAACCTATGTCTGTAAACAGCAAGTCATCTTCCTTACAACAGGAATGGGTTTAAATTCTTCACAAACGCTGGAGGGCTTGGGAAAGCTGACATTAAAGACATCTTGGAGCGTGCTGCAAACATATACAGTAACTTCACAGTTGAAGGTTTAAAAGATGCAGAAAGAAGAGCATCTTCATCTGTAAAAATGGTTGACTACATGGCTATTTATACATCTGCTCTTGTAGCGGCAGTTCGCAAAGCTGCAGGAAGTATAGGTAATATCCCTTCAAACAAATTGTTGTTCTAGATCTGTGAAAATTACAAAATAGAACTTTTGAGACTAACGCCTCCTTTCTTGTTTCGGGCTGCAATTGGGTCAGGCTTAACCCGTATCAACCCAAGCTCAGCCCAAACTTTAGATGGGCTTGGGCATATTTTTTGAAGTTTGGGCTGGGCTCGAGTTGACAAAACTGAACCGTACCTCATCTCACTAAGGGTTGGGCTTAGATTTTGGCAGCCTGACATAATCCTAGCCCAGCTTTATATATAAAATTCTTTGTCATATCACACTTGGCCACCTCAATCCAAGGTCACTGTTAGCTCATTGAGAGGATCTTTTAGTCAATGTTTGACCGCATTGACTCTGCAAAATGTCTTGGATAGGAAATGTGTAAAGTCCCAATTTTATCTTTGAACTTAGGTGTAATATCCTACATTTCTATTTAGTTCTTTATTTGTTACTACTAGCTTATTGGTGTCTATTTAAATATATTACTTCACACGGGTTTTAACTATTAAATAGTTATGGTGGTCGTTTGAGTGAAAATAGGGAAAGTGGAAGGATCTAAAATAAAGAATAAATAGTTAATGGGGGTTAGATTGGAAATAAAGAATAATAGGTGGTTTGAAAGAAAAGAAGAAAAAAAATATGACAATTGTGCATGCTTTTAGGTGTCATGTATGCCTGTGTATACATGTGCTCTTACTAGATGCAAAAACGAGATCTCCCAAAGCCATATGTCTAACATGTTATATATATATATATATATATATTGTCTGTTTGGGGAAGCTTCATGTCATTTGAAGTCCTTTCTCAATAAGATATTCTTAGAAGTAATTCCAATAAAAGGAATTCAGAATTAAAAAGATGTTTGGTGAAAACATTTTTTTGAATTCATTTAAAAATTGACATTATCTTTTAATTTGGAATATTATTTTTTCATTTACAGTATTATCCTGTACTTCTAACCCATCAGCCCCAATTAGACCAGCCCAACTCGTCATTTTCTTTGGCCCATATCATATTCGTGTTGGCAAAAAATTCAGAACTCCGGTGATTGAAATGACTCAGATTTGTAGGGGTTATTTCACGCGATCTTATGCCTCAACTATTGCGATGATTCATTACATGGCCATGTTGAAACAGCCTGATCCACTATTTTTCGGAAAGTTCTCCGTCATCAAGGCATCATATAAAGGTGCTCTGTTGGTCGGCGACAACCCTCTTAGCAAATCATGCCATGAATGAACCCCCCCACCAAAAAAAAAAAAAAAAGTGGCCTGTGGATGGGTTTTAGCCTAACCAGTTTTAGATTTAAAATTTTGCTAATCAAAATAATATAGATTTAATATTTTTAATTAATCAGAATGACAAAAAAAAAAAAAAAAATCTAATAAGAGAGAAAGGTTGAGCAGATTTTACAGAGGGAAACCCAGGAGAGAACATGGAGAAGAAAATAAGTGCAAATAAATGAAGACTAAAGGCTAATATGGGTATTATGAATCAATAAATAGGGTTAAAGTTGTGAATCCAATATTTGTAGAGAACGTGTCATCTGACTTCCCGAAAGTCACTCACAGAAGTAAGTTTTCATAGCTTTCATGAAACGGGCTTCTAAGGGCTTGGGCTTTTACTAAAACCCACCAAACACTCAATTTTTATATTGAAGGACTTTTTGGGTTTAAAAGCCCGTTTTGGGGTCCCCAAAAGCCCTGCCAAACACTACCATAGTTACCAAGAAGCTTCCAAGGGAAGCTTTATGTGTAGTCTCTACGTATAGTGAAGTGAAAAATAAAGGAAAAAAAATGAAAAATGATGACTGAATGACAAGTGGGGGACACTTGCCATTTTCTACACATGTATAATTTGTATATGTATACACTTGTCATGAAGCTTCTCAAGGAAGCAGGAAGCTTAGTGTATACAATATATACATAGTTGAAAGAAGGAAAAAAAACGCAAAACAAAAGAGAGCAACAAGCAAGGAGGTAGGTTTTCCTATCTTTACCCTTTTTTTAAAATATTGTTTTTATTTATTAAAAATTGAAAATTTTCTATAATTGTCTCTTCACATATGAAATATGGATTTAATTTGTTAAATTACTTTGTTAAGCATGAAATTAGTTGGAGAATTGTGTGGCTTTGAAATGTATTATTGTGCTGAAAAATTGAACTGAACAGTTGCTGTCATGAGCTCGAAAATTGAACCTATCCCGATTGGCATGAAAAGCCCTGTCCCACAGGGTCGTGAGATAACAACAATCACATCTCAAATCATTTTAAAAAATTTCATGCTTAACAAAGTAACAAAATTCACCAAAAGTAGCATTCAAACTCAATTTGGGTGAAACTAGGACCAAATGAAAGCTAACAAACTATATTTTAATTTCAATCAATTACTTGAGAAATGATAGAGCCTCCGATCTCAGCTTCCGAATTATCCTCCACATCCGACGTGGCCTTGCCACATCAGCCCACTACAAAATGCACTGGCATCTTTATTCTTTTTCTTTCTTTTTGGCTTTCTCAATAAATTTACTTTAGTGACACATTTTTTATAAAAAAAATAAAGTTACTTTGTAATAAAGTTTGATGGGCCAGAAAGAATCTCCATTGTCGGCGACCGGCTCGAGTAAGGGAAGAAAATTCACGTATTTAATACCTCACGGGGAAGGATTTATTGATACACTGTCCGACCAACCCGCGAAGTCCTCATCGGTCACCGGCCGCCTTTGGTTCCCGTTGTTTTGGTTAACACAAGATAAATATATATATAACCCTCTCCCTCCGCCAGCGGATTCTGTAGCTTTTTCCCCCAAATCTTCAAACCCAACAACAATCAACAACAGTGAACCCTCTAGAGGCCTTTGATCGTGTGAAAAGAGGATGAGAAATCCATTCCACCATCGCCACATGTTCTGCCGGACTGCCCAAAAAATCAAATTAAACTTGGGGGTGCTTTGGAGTAACTTGAATGCCTTTAGCTAGCGTCGTCTTCCCCTTACCATTCTACCTGTTCACCTAAGCTGTTTCAACCACATGGCCTGCAGGAACTTAATGTAGTTTATGCAAATATTGCTATAGCCCAACAATACTCCCTTTACATGGCCATTGGCAATGCCCTCATGCAACACCCGTTCACATATCCAATACAGTCCTACTTATCAAAAAAAAAAAATTCAATACAGGCTTAACTGCTCTATAACTGCTGGGGGAATGATATGTACTAGCCATGTAGATAGAGTAAAATTGAGAAATGTTTTTTTCTCAAAGACAGAAAAGGGAGAGAAACTAGAAATGTGTTTGCCCAACACAGCAACATTTGAAGTGGTCTTTGGAGAATTGGAAGATCTTTACTAGTTCTGATACTGTTACATTATTGAAATGATTTTTGGGAAAATCTTATTTAAACTTGAGTGAACTTTGAGAAACTAAATAGGACATGTTTAGAGAATAAATATTTATGAAAAAATGACTAGAAAATACTGTAATTCCAATTATCTGGAAGAGTTCGTACAAATAAAATAACCAATAACATATATTAACAAACTCGTAATTTGATTTTATACAACCACTTGAAACCCATAAATCTTTCTGTCAATGTAGAATCTTATGTCTGGTGGAGAGGTGGATCGTGTGCCTATAACAATTAAATTAATTTCGGTAGGAATAGGGTCTACTGCAGTCATCCTTGCAATCTTAGCAGCCTCTCACTCACTTTAATGTCCCCTCACAACAATCCAATTAAAAGCTCCCTGACCTTGCATAGTTTTTTTTTTTTTGATAAGTAAAATTTATTGAAAGACACTCCAAGGGGGAGTGGAACCCAAAGGAAAACACAAGGCCAAAAATGTTGTAACCCAGTCTCTTTGTTTCTTCGCAAGTATCGATATTATCCTCTTTGAGGTTGCATCATTCTTTTATGAGTAAAAGAATGATGCATCCTGTGATTGTTGTAAGGCATAGGATCTGTGTCTGATAACATTCTGATAATATCCTGTGATTATGTTTTAAGGGAAAATAAATATTTTATTTTCATTCTCATATAAACAGAGTATATAGGGGGTTGGACCCATCTAGGGTCCTCTTCCAACTTGACCAACCCACCCAAGTTGCCGCCCCACATGAAATGCTCTTCATTGGAACTGGATGTCATGTCCTGTGCTTGTCATCTGGTGAATATATTTCTTCTTTAATAAATCTGTTCTTATAATAGGTTGTTTTTGTTTTATCTACTCATTGACATTTGGTTTCCCTCCTTAAGTGGTCAACATCCCACATGCTTATCTTGTTTTGAATCTCAGAGAAGCCACTGGAGGGGTTTCACATAGTTGTTGATGCAGGAAATGGAGCAGGAGGATTTTTTACTGTAAGTTTCAATTCTATTGATTTGAAGTCGCTTTTTCTTTTGATGTTATTCTAGACAGAATGGAATTTTGTATTTAGTTACAGAGACTGTGGCTATGTTTCACTCTCATCATTACTGTTATATTGTTTTTCGGTAAATCATTACTGTTTCATTGTTGTTATTCCTTTTTCATGTTCTTTTTTTTTTTTTTTTTTTGCCTGCAGAGGTTACATCATGTCATATGATGCCTTAAATTAAATCCATGTATTAAGTTGGATTATGAAGTTCAATATTTTAAGTTTGTTTCCTCTAATATCTTTTCTTTTCTTTTTTTACTTTTATGGAACAATATGATTTCCCTCTCTGTCTCTCTCTGTATATACATTTGTATATGTAGGTATGTATGTATGGGCTATGGTCTTTTCTTATCTGATGTTTGGAAGCCAAAAAGTTCATAGAAGATAATTTCTTGTCCTTGCATGATTATAGAGAATTTTATTTAGACAATCTTTTGTTATATGAGGTCTGGAAGATTCAGATGTTTTAAATATGTGAAAATCGAACCTTGTTCACAATTGACTTGTTGAAACAAAAAATTACAGTATAAACTCTTGCTGGAGGACAGGTGATTTTTCATTTCGTTGGGAACAGTTGTTTGTTTTAAGGTCTTATACCAATTTTTTATGTTAATTCAAGCTTGTGTGTAATGTCACATATTACAAGGAACTATTTTATAACATTGGGGAGCGCAATCATGGGTCTCCTCTATTTTTCAAGCTTTAATGTTCTGTATGATTCACAGTGCAATAATGAATATTCATGATGATCCATTACGAAGATTTTAAAATTTCTAATTTTTAAAGAATAATAGGAAGAAGTAGACCTATTTATCATTCGAAGTCCATGGGTAGAGAATATTTTCCCAGCCTAGAGGCAAGTACATCTGAAGATACAAAGTTTGTTAATGTCCATCATTTAGAAATTGCCAGACTTAACATTACCTAGTGTCTGGTTCCGTCTACACTAGCTGCTCCAATGGGGAAAGACTTCAGGTAGATTAACTTTGTGACTATTCTCAATATTAAATTTAGTAATATGTTGAACAAAGTGACTGTCTCGGACTCTAACCTGCATGACTGTGCATTCACTTGTTAGCCTGAGCTTTTTTCATTGCCCAAGCAATGATCTCTATAGATATTAATGGGACTTGAACTCTAGCATCCACTTATTAGTGGTCCCAAGTTATCAATGGACCAAGATGCTACTCTTTTTTTGTGTTTTTTTTTTTTTTTTAATCTAAAGAATTGACAAAGCCAAAAGTAGCAGCCAACATATTTTTGTTAGAAGTCTTGGGTTTACAAGAGGTGAATGAATTGGTAGCTTTGTAAAGAGCATGTTAAGCCATTTCTTTTCTTTTCTTCTGAATTTATATATTTGTAGATGGTTTTTGATATTGATTGCTACAAAGTATACCTCAGGTCTAGATTTAGTGGCCTTGCCTGCGCTTAATAAAGATAAATGATGTGTAGTAATATGAAGTGATGAAACTATTATCAACTTTGGATGATAATAGAATTTTTTATTTTTAATATTGAACATAGTATCATTTTAGTTTTAACGCTTAGTGTATAGGAATCTCTTTAAATACAGCAATTGATATATTCTTTCAGCATCATCCTCTCGGGGAAGGTGAAAGTAATGAGCTAGAACTTGTACTATATGTTCCTTTCAGTCTTATACGGCAGGTTTAAAATTTGTGCATGTCTTGATACACCGAGTGACCACACCCCTTAGTTTGATGTCCCATGAGGATGCATTGGTCCTAATTGCTTCTAAAGGCATTTGCATACATTCCATCCTTTAGAACAGAGTGATCACTTCACCAAAAAAGGGTAAAAAGAAAAGTAAAAAATTGTAGAGGGTACAGAGGGGACGAAATTTAGTATATGTCCCGTCTAGGCAGGGTGCTAGGAGGGAAGACTGGGGACAATCTAATCTTTGGCAAAATTTTGCAGTGGCTGCTGTGAGACTCAAACATAAGTTATGTGACCTTATGCTTGTCAGGACTATTTTTTTCTGCTGTACAAAGCAATGACCCCCCGGTTCAAGTTTGGATGTCATGTGATATAAGAAATACACAATTGTCATAGTTTCACATTTTGATGCACTAGCTGGAAGTGTTTTTGGAAAAATATCCCCATGATGAATGTAATTGGATCATTTTCTGAAATCCTAAAATACCCTAATATTAACCTGGTACTAGGAAAAATGATGATAACCTCACTTGAATGCTCATAATTTGCAATGGGTACAGTTCAATTTCCATGTACAGCCGAAAATGGGACTATATTTTACTACATGGATGCAGGATTCTGGATTCAAGTTGAATTAGTTCTATCTGCTTGAAAGTGTGAATTCATGTCATATGTTAAACTAATTCATTTTCTAGTTACACCATAGAATAATATTAGTTGTTTTACTTTAAATGGCTTATCAGGCAAAGGTGCTTGAACCTCTTGGGGCTATTACTTCTGGCAGTCAGTTTTTGGAGCCAGATGGTAAATATCTAATTATGAAAATTCTGAGGAGGATGTTCATATGTTTCCTTTTGCTGATGATAAATCTATTTATCACATCAGGTTTATTTCCAAACCATATCCCAAACCCAGAGGACAAGGCAGCAATGAAAGCTATCACTCAAGCAGTCCTTGACAACAAGGCTGATTTGGGGATAATCTTTGATACAGATGTTGACAGGTGGTGGTTTTTACAGCTGATATGTTCATCTGCATGCATTTTTGGATGATCTTGACTGTGTATTTCTTCCAGATCTGCTGCTGTGGATTGCACTGGCCGTGAATTAAACCGGAATCGTTTGATTGCTTTAATGTCTGCAATTGTTCTCGAGGAAGTAAGTTTTCTTTGTTAATCTGTCTTCAAATTTTTGCTTTATAATTTGAAATGGTCTCCCATCAGAACCCCCTACACCTCTAACCATCCCCACAAACAAAAAGAAAAGAAAACAGGAAAAAGAAAAAAATTGTACTGGTGTGAATCTTATTTGTTATTTGTTTTGGTTCCATTTTCGTTTTACTAGCATCCAGGAACAACTATCGTCACAGACAGTGTGACTTCAGATGGGTTGACTACATTTATTGAAAAGAAACTTGGTAAGATATATAATGAGTTCAGTTGATATTCATTTCTCATGATGAATGTGCTCATAACCCAAAGTTCTCACAGGAGGGAAGCACCATCGGTTCAAAAGGGGCTACAAAAATGTCATTGATGAAGCAATCCGTTTGGTAATTTTTAAGATTCACTTATTCTTTGTGAATTTAGATCATGGTTCCATCTCTACAAGTCAAGAAGCAACCATGTTTGAGAAATTCTAAAATCTTAATGCTCCGACTGTTGTAAGCGCCTTATTCCTTGTACACATGGTTTGCAATTACAACTTCCAGAACCAACGATAATTGGGCCGCATTATATTTTGTTCCTTTTTAATAGAACCCACAATTTGAGGTACAAAGGGAGGAGGAAATAAATTAAGGAAGGAAAACAAAATACTTAAACAAGCAACAAGACTAAAAGCGCATCTACCAAGGAATGTAAGAACCAATGATGGTCCATTGTGTTATAGATATTTCACTGAATAATTGCTCTAAAACCAAAGAATATTTATACCAATGCGTCGATAATGCATGCATGATATTCTCATGTCTCTTACGGTGCAAATTTCTTTGTGGTTCTTGTTTTGCTATAGAGTGGCATTGCATTTTTTTTTTAATGCAAGACAATCCAATCACTCTTGGGTTTCTGAAATCAGTATGAACAGCTTATCCAGTATTGACCTCTTTTAAGTATACCTTCAATGGTTATCAGCCCACTGTATGCTTTTATTTGTTTTTGGTAGTCAAGCTGAAATTCTATAAGTTAAGATTTGGTATAAAGGAAGTTACTAATGTCTTGACTCAGGCAAACAATTATAATCTTATGAAGAAATGCTACTTCTTTCTTGTCCAACTTTTGCCCATATCTGTGTATATTTTATATCCTCATGTGGGATTTTAGTTGTTAATGTAAGGTGTTATTTTGATACTAATAAGAACGGGAGTGTACTAAACAAAGAGGGAAGTAATCGAAAGGTGATCAGAGCCAAAAGCAACACTTGTTTGTCAAGTTGTGACTTTTGATATGGGGTCCTCGATTGATGCTTATGTTGATTTGCTTCATTTGAAGTGCTCATGTATCTTTTTTTCCTTATGTGACTGAGGCTACAGCCATAAATAGAGCGGAATGGCAAAACAAAATTTATGTAGCTGACTTGCTTTTTTGAGTTGAGTTTGTGTGACTGGATTATGTTCTGGAGCCTTGGTGATTAACCCCAACACCTCTTATATCTGATCACATCTTATATATATATATATATATATATATATGATTTATGCCATTAATTGTTGTAGATGCTGGCATTTTACCTCTTTTAGTATACTTAATGTTGCATTTTGGTTAGCATTTCAACCTTTTGGCTTCATATGGAATTGAAATTTATACCTGAAGTGAAATATTGTTGACAGAACTCTGTTGGTGAGGAATCCCATTTGGCTATTGAAACCAGCGGCCATGGAGCTCTTAAGGAGAATCACTGGCTTGATGATGGTGCATACCTCATGGTAAGCTTTAATTGCTGTCATGGTTGTGAAAGTTATTGAACATGTTAGGGTTAGAATTTATTGTTCAACAAAGAAAGCGGTTCAAGTCCTTGGGATTTCTAGTTAGGTGTTGCACAGAAATCCCTATTTTGTGGAGTCAGCTTTTGTGTTCCTTGCAATCTGTTTTTTTCTTTTTTATTCCTTTAATCCCATCTATTTGGCATTGCTTGCAGGTCAAGCTCTTAAATAAACTCGCATCTGCCAGAGCTTCAGGAATAAGTGGTGGCAGCAAAGTTTTGACTGATATGGTTGAGGGTCTACAGGAACCTGTGGTTGCTGTCGAGCTTAGACTCAAGATTGATCAAAACCATGCAGATCTTAAAGGAGGGTATGTGACTGAATGTGGTAATTATTTGCTGAACGTGCCTAGGAAGTTGTGCATTTTATAATTAAACCCGTACTTTCAGATCTTTCCAGGATTATGGAGAGGCTGTTCTGAAACACTTGGAGAATGTTATAGATTCAGACCCAAAGCTTCAGAAATCCCCTGTTAACTATGAAGGCGTAAGTTCCATAACCTGCAAACCAACACTATCATTTGGAACAAATTTTTTAGGGTTCTATCTGTCAATCATGATTCTAACAGCACTAGAAGTCCATGCTTTTTAGCCTCTTGGCCTACACATTGCTTTGCAACCATAGTCATTGCTGGGGTTACAATGGCATCAAACTGACTTATAGTGTGTAGATAGAAGCATTAAATTGCTTGGTTTGTAACTCTGAGAACAGTTTTCTGTTTTCAGAAAATTGAAAATAAAAAACTGTACAAAAAAACTCTACTTGGTTCAGTTTTCTGAAAACTGTTTTATGACAACTCAGTTATAAAAAGGCCTATTTTCAGATAACTGTCTTTTATAGTTCTCTGAAAACAGTTTTATGTTCTCTGAATTCTTGAGAACTGTTTTCAGAGTTACAAACGAAGCAGGCCCTAATTTCTTAGATTTTGATCCTGGAACCAAATCCACTGCCACCATTTGACTATTGTTTGATTTTATCTTTAGAGTAGAGAAGGTCCTCCTCTGTTTCTTGACAAATGATGGAAGTTGAGTGTGGCAGCTTAGAAACAGGACGATGTAGACTTTGAAAAACAAATTACCAAGAAAATTAAATTGTCAATTGTCTTAATACTTCCGGACAAAATAACATGATTGTTCTTGATGTCAAATGCAACAGTAGTTTGGTTGTAATTTGCATATATAATTTACTTCTTGTTGATAGGAATAAGAGTTGTGCCGGCAATGTCTCATTCAAAACTCTGGTTGTAATGTGTCAAAAGGGTCTTGAGAATTTGAGTACAAAGGTTTACTATAACATGGCGAGAAATCTGCATCCTCAATCACATATCTAGGGCGTAAATTGACCTTTGAAAGACCTTAAATGATCTAGTTTGATCTTGGTGAGGCTAAAGTCAAGTTTCAAATGTGTTTTTTGAAAAACTATTTTTAAAAATAAAGGATTTCAACATAATCTAAACCAAGTGTTTGCTGAAAAATAGAGATGGATAGATTGATCATCGAGTGAAATTCTGAGAGCGTTGATTAAATGGCCAATTGATCAAAAAGCTTATCCAATGGTGCTCGACTGAAGTCTCGATCAATTGAACCCTGCGGAACTATATTTTGGAAACTATCTTGAAACAGATTTCTACAAGGATTCAACTTATAAAAACGTATGGCAACCTATATTGATATAAATATATGGAGTTATAGTTGAGAGAAAATCATGGCGTGAGTGTGAAATTTCCATAACTCAATCTAGGATTTTCTTACATAACATCATATGTGATTGAGTAATTTATTAGCGGGGAATTCACCAATATATTGAAACTATCAGATTTTTTAGCAAAGGGGAGGACAAATGTTGGGAAGCATATTCATAAGGAATGAAGTCTGTGACAGAGAGGACAAACAGTCTGCATACTGAGTGAAGAGTTTTGACATCTATGTGTGATGAAACTAGGGGTTTTCGGCTATGGAAACTTTTAATTTCGTTGCAACTTCTTAGTGGATTGTTCTTGGTTGGGGTAGGTCCGGTGGTTTTTCCATGTTTAGGGTTTTTCATGTAAAAATATGGTGTCTCTACTCCTACTTTACTTTTTATGGATGCATGGTTAAGTGTGTGATGGTTCAATTCAAAAATTCATGAATATAAACTAAAATTCAAATCACAAGCAGCATATGTATGTTATTATATATTTTATTGCATTTTGTTTTCTTGTTTTAGGGATAGGTATTGCTATGTGAGGAAAATATGTATTATTTAGGAACTCAGACCATTCTTTCATCATTCTCTTTTCCTCTCAGATCTTCTTGTCCTGCTGGGTCGAGTTATTAACTTTTTGCTAATGTAGCTACATATTCTACTTTTTTAGAACAGTTTGTTTCCTTCCCTGGTTGTGATTAGTAAACTGTATGGATGATATAGAGGAAAGCGAATTGGTATTGAATTGATGGTGTACAGGTTAAATGTAGGATTAATAATCCCATTTGAATTTATCAGTTTGAATTTTGGTTGGATGTTGTTTGAGCGTATTGGTATTTCCTTATCTTTCTTCCCTGAGCATGAGATTATACAAGCTAGAACAAAAAAACGTCTTGCTGTTTAGGATTTTGCAATTTATTTATATTCTATTTTACTTTTATACTGTGAACGCCTTTGTAGGCTCTGTGGTCAAGATTACTACAACCAACCAAAATGTTTAGGCAATGGAAGGTTTTTTATGTTTTATTTTGTTGTTGCAGTGGTGGTGGTTTTTGTGGGTGTTGCTGTTGTAATAGTAGTACCAATAGAAATTGTTCGCAATATGACGTTTGCCATGTAAAACAGGTCCGAGCTTCCGGATATGGAGGGTGGTTCCTATTGAGACTCTCCCTTCATGACCCAGTCCTGCCCCTTAATATTGAGGTAGACACAACTATCTGAACTGTTGCATGAAGTTTTAATAGTTGAAGGTATTGAAACTGACTTGAATAATGACCACTATAGGCACCAAGCAACGAAGATGCTGTTAAACTTGCTCTTGCCGTGCTTGCTGCTGTTAGTGAATTCCCAGCTCTGGATATCTCTGCCTTGCACAAGGTTGTTCACATGTCGTAAAGAAAACCCCGGTGAACTGGATTGTTGTGCATTTTTGTGTCTTAGAAAGAGGAACCTCGTCGCGGATATGGCTTTGTCTGACCAATTTCTGTGTCACGAAGAGCTTCAGGTCTCGACACTCAACTGATGGCGCTTTTTGAACGATGATGATATATATCATGCTATAGAACTACATATACGGTGGATGAACATTAAACTGTGTATGCATCTCCAATCACGGGACAACTACATAATTTTCTAAACAACACATTGTAACTATGTTAATTTTTGATAAATTCATGTTGTAAACTACTGCTTCCTTGCACGTATGTCCAGATTTGAGAATTCTACATATGGCTATGTCTACTTTGCATGAAATTTGATTATCTAAAAACTCTGCGCTCTTGAAACCCAGGAGAGCTTCCTATGGTTGATTTTTATTTATTTTTATTTTTATTCTTTATGCGTCGGGTTGGACGTGAGTTAAGAGTAACCCACATGAATTGAAAACATAGAATCCATTATTAACTATTTAGGTCATGATTCATTTTTTTTTTTTTTTTTTAAATGAAAATGAAATCATGGAAGTATGGTTTGATTATATGAAAAAACAATAAAATATATTTATTAATTTTTGATAAATTATTTTACAGGCCTCATTCGAAAATATCATAAATAGAAATCTGTAAACGAAAAATATATTTTGAGGAAGATATTTTACTATATATATATATATATATTTCATCTGTAAAACAATATATATTTTTTGAGCAAGGTATTCGCGTACATGGAAACCTTATAAAAGTGTTGTAATTTCAAAATACATTGTACTAAAAAAAAATTGTACGGAGAGTTAGGTGGAGTTATTATAGGCCTCTCCTGTACGAGGCTGCATGGAAGAGTGGTCAGATACGACGTCGCTTTAGTTGAATATTTTAATACGCCGGTCTTGTTTTGTTTAGCAATTTATACGGGTGGACTGTTGACAGACATCGTCCACTTTCCCACATCACTAAAACCCCCCGATCAGGCGATCATCCTCTCTCTCTCTCTCTTCTCTCTCATCCAGATTTGTGAAAACCATCTCTGCTTTATCTTTCTAGGAGATATATGATAGATATACACTGTTTCTCTCTCTCTCTATATATATATATATATCTACAAATATTTATCGGCTCGTTTACTATAGTGTTGTGATCGGCAATTGATCGAATTATACGAAATTGAAGCGTTTGGTGTAGCTATGAATATGAGTCACCCTTCAGTGCACCCACTAGAAGCCCCTCCGCTCACCGATGCCGCCAACAACGCGCCGAGGGTGCGGATGAAGGACCTGCAGGGCATGCCGGGCACGACGGCCGGATTGGCATTGCGGTTGTGTCAATTTGGCTTCGCTGCGGTTGCGCTTTGCATAATGACCACCGCTAAGGACTTCCCCTCCGTCACCGCCTTCCGGTATACCCTTCTCTCTCTTTGTTACACGCAGTTGCACACACATGTATGAATTTCGGAGTATTACTTTAACCAAGTGTTATGAATCTTGTGATTATCCCTTTTTACATTAATGTTTTGGCCTTGATGAATTCATATTAAAAATTGTATCTTTGAATTTCGGAGTACTCAATACATTTTTGCTCGAGCATTTTGTTCAAATTTTCTTTTTGGTGATTATGAAATTATATATGCCTTTTCTCATCAATACGAGAATGTTAAAGATGAATGATCAGAGTGACTAGAAGACATGGAATTAATAATCAATGTGTGAGTATGAGGGAGAAATTAGGAGTGGCACCTGTTAAGTAGAAAAGTTATGTGAACATTGGTCCATAGACGCACCGGTAAATAAATATTCGATGTTGGTAGATTTTGATGTGAAACAGCTGAAATGTGATTAATGATGAGTCTGACAGGTTTACAGCGTTGGTAAAAATAAAAAATAAAAAATAAAATAAATAAAAAATAAAAATTGGATCTGTTGTGGTAGATTCATGAATAGATTGGCTGATCGTTTTCTTTGTCTTTGACTTGGTGATATATGCTGTTGATTCAGGTTGAAAACACAAACGATAAGTTGACTTTATTTTCAAAATCCCTTTGAAGTCGTACTGGGAAAAATGATAGAAAATATAGGAAAAGGGAAGGGCTGAGGTAGCTATTTGCAAGGACGGCACTACCTGGTAATCGTGGACTGTGTGTGAGTGAGGAGGTCAAACATTTAGATCAAATTTCTCTCCTTGATAATGTGGTTTACAACATAATACAGTTGTTGCAATAATGAGGCTCATCTGATCATCTAAGTGAGAATGATTCCTTTTGAATGCTCCGTGAAAAATAATTCTTAGCATTGTGTTTAACCAGCGGTACGTCCTGCTATGCTTGTATCAAGGAGACTAAGCACATGTAGTTAGAGGTTTAATGGAGAATGATAAGAGTGTTGTAATGCCTTGCCCATTTCTTTTTTTTCATAATTATGCCTTGCCCATTTCTGAGTCGGTTAGACCATTTATTTGCTGCACTAGTGTTTACTGGAAGAGTTGCATAGTGTTTCTGCATGGTATATATATTAAAATAGTATGAAGTACTCTATATATGGTAGAGATACCATAGTTTCTCGACATAACAGGGAATTTTCAGCCATGATTCTTTATCAGTGGGGTACGGTCATGGGTGACTTGAGGATGCGGAAGCTTTATATTTGGCGTCGGGCACAAAAGTTATTGAGCAGCCCAATGATTTCACGAGGGATGATATGGCGAAGTCTACGAAGAATTGCAAGCCTAATGTGAGGGAGCTCAAAGGTATAAGAAGGCTAGCCCACCCAGGGTAAAATAATGAATTTGGGAACAACTAGATGTGCCCGTAGCAGGATAACGGCAAGTACCATGGGAGGCAGTACACTGAGAGGATTGAGCAGGATAACAGTGACACGCGTGAACTGAAGTGCTTCTTGTGTGATTAACGGCAAATGATATGCAATTGTTCTAAGAGGAATGAGTTGAGCATTCTCGTGAAGAAAATAGGTAGGGGTGGAAATACTTGACACGACATGCTAAAACGACTCGAATATGACACGAGATAAGTGGCTTTGAGTTTGACTTAGTCGTGTTCAAGTCGTAATTGTGTCAACCCGAGTTGACGCTAATTAAACGTGTCATGTTTGTGTTTAACTCGTCAACTCATTTATAACTTGATTATACCCGTTTAACAAAATATGTCGTGTTTGGGTTTGAAATGACCCAAATAGTATCAAATTTTAGTTAAACTTGTCTTGCCATGTCAAGTCAAGTCTTGACCCATTTGTTAAACAGGTTAAGTGGGTCGTGTTGTGTTACCTGCTTAATGATGTTATTGTGTTCTTGTCAAGGTTTCTTGACATGTATAATAATCGTGTCGACCTCTATGGCAAGATACCTTGTCATGACACGATACGAATATAACAATGAAGTGACCAGCTATGATTATCAGTCTAAACCTGTTTTGAAGCGAATATCTATGTATGTTTAAAAATAAAAGAATATAACATGCAAGTGATGGTATATGCTCAAACCAAGCCCGACTTATTGCTTGTCTAAACCCAATTATGGGATCCCCAATCTGTCTCGTTAGGGCTGGACATGACTACTTACCTGAGTAAGCCGCCCAATGACCATCTCTGAGCATGAACCCAAATTTCTGAAGGAATCAATATTTATTTAGTGGTTCTGTCTTCTTTATAGAACACAGAATTTGGCGTTGATATTTTTCTGTGAACTGTACTGTCTTTTTGAGACCAATCTTCTGTTTAATTCCATATGTGCTTCTTGGTATATTCCATTACTCTGATATATTTTCTGGAATTCGCTGTACCAGCTACCTCGTTGTGGCTGTGAGCTTGCAAAGCTTGTGGAGTCTCTCGCTTGCCATTGTGGATATTTATGCCCTCTTGGTGAGGCGTTGCTTGCGAAATTCCAGGGTTGTTGGCTTGTTCACTTTCGGGGACGGGGTAAGAAAGTGTTTTTACTGATCTTAAAAAATTGAGAATGTAAAGCAAAAAAATGTGTACATATCTTGTTAGTATCCATGTAAATTACTACTAGAAAATACTTGGAAATTGGTTATTAATTTGTTGCCTTGTCCATTTTCTCTTAAGATAGTTGTGAGCTGTATAAAATTGATTTGGTTGGATCCAACCAGGTGCCATTTTGACATGTCTTGGAATCATTTGTTTGCTGGCAATATCATGTGTAGTAATTAGTGTAGAAAAGACTTAAAATCCTTTATTAAAGCATCTGCAAACTTTAAATACTGACTATTCAGAACTAAAAATTTAAGGATAAATTTGTCGGTCTATATTTAAATTTAAAACCGCCTTTAGTCGAATGCGTTCAGCATTTAGTGAAATTCGAGTTTCACAAACTTGAAAATTCAGACCCTCTCAAATTGATCTTTTAAGTGATAACTACTTGTGCAACGCACCTACAGAAAAAAAAATAATAATAAAATAAAAAATAAAAAATAAAAAACAGAAAAAACAAAAAACACACACACACCTACTGAAGTCCTGAAGCTTTTCAGCTTTTAGCACTTAATAGGGTTATCAAACAATCCTGTGTTTCTCACCACATTTTGTTCTCTTTTTATCTATCAGTGTGTGTTTGTGCTTTTAAGAGGGAGAGGCCCTCTTAAACTTAGCATGAAATGTAGGTAGTGCCTATTACCTACTTTGAGAATCATTTTACGGTAATCTCCAAACACATTAAAATTATATTGGAATCGCATCCCTTACCTCGGGAAACATTTCAGGTGAATATACTTTTCGTTTACACTACTTGTTCAGAAGCAGGCTGTTACAAACGAACTACGAAATCTACATAGAAGTTCTACTTCCAAGTTTTTATAAAGCCAATCGCAGCTCAAGTTGATTTGAACTGTTGGACCATTAATTCTGCAGTTCTTTGCTAAGTTTAAACCTATGTGAGTGTGAAGCAAGAGAGAGACGACAGATATGAATGATAGAGATCAACAATTATAAATAATAGCATAACCATTTCACCTATCACACAGAACCTTATGTATGCAAGTGTGATTAGGCGAGAGCAGTACCCAACTTCAATTTTTCTAACATTCATAATTTTTAAAGTTGTGTTTTGTTAGTTGAATAGACAGTATTGTGGTTGGAGTGCTTTGATTAGGCAATTGCAGTACCAAAGTTCGATTTTTCTAACATGCATAATTTTTTAAGTTGTATTTTGTTATTTGAATAGACAGTCTTGTGGTTAGTGCTTGGATATATGCTCTGTAATTTTGTGGATTGAGAGTTAGCACTATTATCATCAATTTAGGGATTTGTCCTTGGCATGTTTATTTGACAATTACATTTGTTCTCCATTCCTCAATTTAAATTAACGGTTTTTTCTTTCTAATTTTTTAACCTGTAGATCACATCAACACTTACATTTGCTGCTGCGTGTGCATCTGCTGGTATAACAGTCCTTATCGGCAACGATTTCAACAATTGTGCAGAAAATGATTGTACTAGGTTTGAGACAGCTACGGCTATGGCCTTCATGAGTTGGTTTGCTGTTTCACCCTCCTTTTTCTTAAATTTCTGGTCTCTGGCATCAGGGTGAAACATTTATAAATGTTGTTCAAACTGTTCTTTGGGCTCCTTATTTTCGCCCATTATCCTTGTAACCCAAATTTTGTATCCCCTCCTGTATAATTTAAATTGATGGGTTATATTATTGTAGAAATTTGTATTTTGAGTGCTTGAAAATTTGGCTATGCGCCAATCTTAGGGCTCTGTTGTGTAACTCCTCCAATCCTAGCCTAGTGGTGCGTTTCTCTTAGATGGGCTTTGGAACAAGAAAATATTATCCTTCCATTAAATCGAGAGGGATTTTTTTATTTTTTTTCCTAGTTGGTACTCACACACACGTCTCTATTGAGACTTGAACTTCTGACCTCCTTTTGGAAAGTAAGAGGCTAATACCGAGAGGAATTCTTTATGCAACAGGCAAACCAATTTGCTTCATGTGCGTGTCAGGTTGCATCTCGGCTCAATTTGAGAAATCCTTGTAACTAATATTTGGTATTTCATTAACATAAATCATGTTTCTTTGAATTATGATACAAAAAATGTTAAGGTTTTCTCTAAATTGTATGGAGATTATACATGCGTCAAAAAATATTTTCAAACTGCCCAAGATTACTCTCTGTTTTTTAATGGTGCAATTTTTTTAATACTGGCAGACAATACAAAGAAATGGAACCAAATGGTGGCTAGAATAAAAGAGCCCGCAATCTGCTGTCCTCTAAAAATTATTCAACCCAAAACCAAAATCATAAAAAAAAATAATAATAAAAGATAAAAAAAAAAAATACCCTACACAAATTCCAAGTCCCTTTAATAATAATTTATAACATGTCAGGTGGAGACTACATGCAAGGGTCTCTCTCTCTCTCACATAAACACCCCCGCAAAACCTAATCTCAAGCGGGGGAGATCATATACAGTTGTTTCTATGTTACACCAGGACTGTTGCACTGAACAATTCTTCCTATAAAAATGTCCAATTAAGGAATGCAAAGGCAAGGGAGTGCAGAGCACCCCCATCATCGACGACTTTCCAAGCAATCACCTGTTCATAATAAACAAGACGCCTCATTGCTGACATGCATGTTCCAGTTGGCAGACTAGCGAAACCCTGCAAAATGGACGGTTAATAAGCCACGTAGTTAACATTGGATTAGAAGGTTATTGCCTACAATGAGAAGCAGTGTAAAGAGAAAATCTGGTTTTCTCGCAAATAATTTTATAACATTGCAAATTACCTGCTCTGTAAGAATTGGAACAATGGAATACAGTGCCCCCAGGCCAGACTCATCAAAGATCTTTTCGAGTGTAATGTCCTGCAGATCCATTAGTGTGGTCTCCAGCATGCTAAGCCCTGCTTGGTTGGCAAATAAGCAAACTGGAAGCGACTGCAAACCAACCAGTCACTCGTTAACTTCCCTCAAAATCATTCAAATTATCTACTTTATCACATCTAAAAGAAATCAATTTGGACCTTGCCTATGCCAGAAGTTACATAGCTAAAGCAATATATCAGCATGAATAAGTTCCTTGCTTCAACATGTCAAACATGACCATCTTTTATGTGTCTTCTATAAGATTTAGGTATTTTCCTTTTCCCCGAGCATACCTTGAATGAACAACACAATATGGCTTTCGGATAATGCCAGAGTTGTTCGAACACCGAATCATCATTTTGGCAATTGGAGGTCAGCAACTCAGCACCTAAACTGGAACTGGAAAACAGAAAAGCAGAAATGAACACGAATATTAGTTGCTAAAAGAAAATTGCTAAAATTTATTATTATTTTACAAAAGTTCGAATTCAACATGATTGAGCAAGTCTTCTTTATAAACTCTCCATATTGGGTAGTTTAGATACCAACTCAAAGCAAGTTCCTACATGAGATTTGTTGCATGACATGGGATGCCCTACATAGTTTGAGACGCATCTATATTATAGAACAAAAAAGATGTCTTTAGATATGAAAGGAATCTGTGTGTGTGGTCATTAGGACCAGCTAAAGTGGCTGCCACAATTATTCTGAATTACAAAAATTATATGTTCAAAAACCTTCAAAGTTTAAGGATCACTTAGAAGGCGTGGAAGGCCACACATCTACAGAGTTCTCCATCATTTTATAACTGAAGAAGATTAATTCTGCTTTGGACTACAATTTTTTTCCCTATTTCTCGAACAAATGATCTAAATCATTTATTTTCTTTGATCAGTAATATAAGATAGCTATGAATCCAAGTTCTCATGCTGACTTCTATTTTCTAACATGAATCAGAGCTTTTGACTTGCCTATAGCTTTGGCATATCCAATTAGCAAGGGCAACAGCTTCAGGAGAGCCTGGAGTTAGCTTAACCCCGACATGGGGATTCAATCCACATGGTGTTATTGCCTTGGAAACCCTTTGGACAGTGGCAATTATATTGTGGATGTATTGTTGAGCCATGGTTGCAACACTCTCTTGAAGATGGCTCTCAAAAGGGAACTGAAAGGCAATAATCAGCATCACACTAGAATCTTTTGATGAAGATGAGCCTCCAGGGATGTGCCTTGTAGCTGCATATACTTCAAAATTTGATGCCGGGTCCATTGTCTGTTGAGCAGTCAATGAGTCCTGCCAGTTACAGTTTAAGGTAACAATTAGCATTTGTAACCAAAGAGAACCCACTCTGAACTTTGAGATAACGAGATCATCAATTCGCATTCTTAATCAACAGCATTGTTTTTAAGGCATAAACTCATCAAGTCTCGCTCAAACTACGTCGTTCATTTACAAGCTCAACATACATTACAAGATCACTCAGGGACGGATCTAGGAATTCATATGAGAGGGGGAAAATTTATATAGAGGGGTTTTTCCATAACTTCAGTGGGGGCAATTTCAAAATTTTATGGGTATAAATGCGAAAAAGTATAAATTTAAGGATATAAAATACAATAACAAAAAAATTCAGCGGGGGCGGATGCCCCCACTGAGCCCTTCACAGATCCGTGCTTGAGATCACTAATCGACTCGCTGGAATTAGATCCATGAGATGGTATTGGGTGCCTGGACAGAGTGTGTCTGATTAAAAGTCAACCAGTGAGCTTGAGTCATAAGTGGGATGTCTAAACAAGAAAAATGAAGAGTGCGACCCTTTCCTCTCTGATCAGTCTTCTTCCTTCTCATGTTAATTGGCCTTGAGTGCAACTGATCACCCATCACCTTATTTTACATGACCTCCTCTCCACCACCACCCCACGCGCATGTAATCACAATATTTTGGCCAATGTTAGGGTTATATTGTTCTCTTACCTGAAGAATTTTGGGTAGTAGTTTTTGACCATTGAAGGACATCATCAGTGGTTTCTAACAAAAGAAGCCTGCTTTAAGTTCATTCAATGCCAAAAAAACCCTTAAAGCACCATACCCATTCCTTTTTTGAAGCCATTTTTGCTAAAAACAAATTATTCACATTTGGGATGGTGGTGGTTCATAATTGAAAACAGGTAAGCCCAAGTCTATCTTATATGCAAGCCAAAAAATTGCCATGCCAAAGGGTAAGAATGGTTGGTTTTGTCTAAAATTATCGCCCGGTCAATCATTTTGCAGAAAGAATTGGTCCAAAAGAAGCAAAAAACTCAACTGTTTTTGAATCCAAAGGTAAGATCCGAAAGCCAGAGGACAGCAACAGGGCATCATCTGGGAGCATTTCATCAATTGGAGCAAAAATTAATTCTGAGCAGGCTCCAACAGCTTCCTCTTCTATTCCGTTACAAAGCTGCAACATAATCATTTATAAGCATAACATAAATCAGAAATTTTTGTACCCTCAAACAGGGAAACAAAAAAAAAATCCAATTCCTCTGAATCTTCTTTGTATATTTTTCTCCAACATTAGAAGGAAAAAATAAAGTTCATTTTATTTAACATAGAACTCATACTATTGATTTTGTGACAAATGTATCGAGTCCAATTCAAGGTGAAAAGTAGTGTAACGAAATAGTTACAAAAATTATTTGTAGCATTTATTTATGGATCATGACTTATATGACATCACCCAAAACACCTATACTGGGTCACTACTTTCTAAGAACAATGTCTCGAGCTTCTACTAGAGGGTGGATTAGTTAAAAATGCTACTGTGGACAAGAAAACCTACAATGCAACATTAATTACTAACTAGTATAAGAACAAAACAGAGGAGAGACCAAGTCAACTTCAATTACAATAAACTTAGATGAAGAGTCGGCCTTAAATCCTATCCCATAAGTCATGAATGCACTAATTGGACACATTTGTGACCAAAATTGTTTACTACATAATGCTAATGTATGGTATGATTAGGTTCATAATACAGAGATATACTTTAGAATCTAATGATTTTAGGATAGGTGAGGTAGTGGAAGGATAAATGGAATGTAAATTTATCAATTTAGAAGTATATTTAGACTACTGGAGACTGATAGAGAAGATATACAAAGTACAGATTTCTGTATCTTGGATTGTCTATCCAATAGACAGGGAAAAAGAGATCAAAGTGGATGTTACCCAAGTATTAATTACGAAAAAATGGCGGATGAAGAATATAGGTGCTTCTAAAGTATTGTGTTACACTTATCAAGGTAAATAATTTTAAGAGATCTAAAAGACACCTATCAATCTATTTCTAGCTTTGATACAAAATATGGGCAGTTAAGAAGCATGTCTCTGAAATGACCAAAGTAACGATAAGAAAATTGAGATGGATGAATAGCAATACAATAAATTTTTCATAAGAAATAAATGCTCTATAACGGGCTAAACGTGATAACCATTGAGAACAACATAACTTACCTAAGATGGATCACACCCGTGCAACAAAGACGAATAAATTTACCAGGGAGGAGGAGGGATATAAGTTGAAATATTTTCAGGAAAAACACCAAGTTAAGCAGTTACATGATGGCATATGACTTTATGAAGGATGTGGCCTCAATAAAAATTAGTATCTCAGAAAAGGATTCATGTACTCAGTTCCAAGTAGCTAATTTTTGAAGCTCTGTTGAGTTCATTATGCATGTCAATACATCCATTTGGATAATCATTGAGCAATAAAACAATAGCATATAGGAATAGGAAATAGAAGATGTGGGAACAATTCTCTTAACTATAATCCATTGAGAAGCCAAAGAGAACACCTGCAAAAGATATGTATTTCGGAATAGGAAAGCATCTTTTTGGTTGAGAGCATGGCCTTCAAGTTGAATGATTTCCAATATCTGGGAAGCAAACAAAAGGGAAAAAAAAAAAATTATTTGTATGCCAGACAAACAACAAAAGGGATAACATTAAAATATGAACAAACCTCTTCATCATTCACTGTGTGGCCAAGCACAATAGAGCTACTAGAGAACTGGGTGGAGTTTAATTTTGGTAATGCAACTGAGCCAGCTTTCAATGATGCAGCAGAATGTGCATCAACACTGAAATCGGCCCACTCAGAGCGGTGCTCCCTCAGGTACCGAACCAAGATTGCAGGAGAAACATCCTGGCAAAAGGAGTACACAGTATCTCATTGTTTTTAGGGCCAAAGAGCTGACAATTCTCCACAGGAAGAAGTCTATAGGGACCCATAATAACAAAGTTTAAATTTTCATACCAGCGTTAACCATCAATAGTAGATGATGTCAACAAAATCACTAACTGCATAGATTGTGTAAACAGACTGTATTGACAGTAGTCCAGCCAAAGTGAGTAAACTTTATATGCTGACCCGAGGATCAAAATTTTGTTTTGAAGTGCAAACAGTTAGAAACTGGACTTGTTTTGAAACTTTTTGGAAGTACAACGGTAACAGAAAAAAATTTGAAACACATGAAAACACAAAATATGAAGTACAATCTATTAACAAGAGAAGACAAGCCTATAGTGATTATTTGAGTATGTTTTAGGCCTATCATCCATCTAAACAAGAGGACACTGCCAAGGAACAGAGGATAAATACAAATTTGAGCAGGTCATCGTAATAACGTCAAAACAATTCCTTACTAGTAAAATGAAGAATAAATACTTTTAAGTTGATTAATGTATAATGCTATGAAATAATTGCCATAAAATAAATACTGTGCTATAAATAGACATCTTAACATGATTTACGAATAAAATGGTAACCTAAGTAACAACACGTAGCAAATTAGGCTATAATAATTAGCAATTAAGTACTAGAATTAGTTCTCTCCTACCTCATTTTTCAGGGAAAAAATAAAATTTGAATGCATCTACTGTTCTTTGTGAATGTTGTCCAAAACAAACAAAAATTCTACCATTTTGGCATGTTTCGACCATTTTTGATATGTTAAATGAAAAATAAATAAAAAATAAAATAAAAATTTTTTCAATTAAAACATGTCGATTTCAATTTTCTGCTTATGTTTCCTTGTGGTTCATTTGGATATGGAAACATTTTGACCAAATCAATGGAAATAAAAGGAAATTTGAACCTTGATATGCCAACAATTTAAAACCCAGTTTCTAATTACATCACATTGAGTACATTACTTCTAAAAGATTCTCGAGCAAAAATGCCAAAAGTCGAGATGAAATATGTTATTACACATAATCTAGTGGTGTCGATCAACATGTGAAATATCCTCCTGATGTCACACATTAGGCTCAGGATGAGAAGATAAATTAGGGAAAATCTATCACCTGCGCTACACCGCTGGGTGTATTTCATGGGAACATGCTCACTTAGATTTCAAAAGCCATTGATCCCTGGGTCAGGCATATAGAGATAGCACCTTGATGTTCAATGCCTGCCCACGATTGAAGGTAGGGGCCAGGGGATGTTTCCTCTTAGGGTCTGGTGCTTGCTAGCATTAAGGTCCAGTTCTGTGTGGCTGGCAATGGGATGAGTTAGACATACTTGAACTAGCAGCTTAGGAGCAAGCTAAGGTGGTTTCTTGATGTGGACCAGGCCCAGCCAGTAGAGCACACTGTTGCCACGCTGAAGGCACCACATGCATGGCTCACTGATCGTGATGGTTCGTTGACTTTTGGGGCCACGCGACCCAGCCTTGTCCACAGCCTATATATACCAAACAGCAACTAAAATTGGCTAACCCGTTGCCTTCTGTCACACTCCACATCTCCTTCCATGTTGCCCCATTCTCATCGCTATTACACATGAATCTAACCTATTATCAAAATGTCCTACCAATGTCTAGAAACTCAAAAACACATAAAAGCATCAAACTAGTTTTAGGGCTTCACATTGACGAGCAAATTTCCACCATGATATTAGAAAAGCAGGGACTTACTTGTTTATCGAAGTGAACAATGTCAATAAGCAAAAGCTCAGAAAGGAGTGGATTGATCATACACCCTCATTTTTTATTTGCATATAGTTTAAGAGCAATATTACTTGAAATTTGGATCAAATCCATCCTCATTTTTTTATTTGCATGCAGTTTAAGAGCAATATAACTTGAAATTTGGATCATTTTGGCGCATGGAACAAAAACAGCAATGCAGCACCCCACATACACCCAAAATATGGCAAAAGGGGTAGGCACGTACAGATGATATTGTTGGAGTGCATTGAGATATTTATAAATATGAGGGTATCTTTTAAAGAGATAGGTGACTAATAAAAATGATTTCCCCCCTATTATATCTGTATATATATCTATTAGAAGTATCCAAGTAAAAACATAAATTTAAGTGTAATCTAAGGTTCGTGTGTCACTACACTCCTTTTGTGAATCTTCTCTCTTTTCTTTTTTCTTTTCTTTTTTAAGGAAAAAAAAAAAAAAAAAAGGCTCTACCCTGATTACAGTACATTATAAATTCATTTTTCTGATGTTTCTTATAACAAATGAAACTGAAGGAAGAAATAGGAGGGGAAAAAAATTTGTATCACTAAATTTTAGTGTATTGGCACAAAAAGTGTGTCACGTTTCTCGACATATGTTCTAAAACGTGAATTGCAAAATGTTTTGGATTGCTAAATTTTAGTGTGTTGGCACGAAAATTATCATGTTTCCAGACATTTGGTCTAAAACGTGAAATTAGGGGCAATTTATGGTAACTCTATATTGGAGCATATTACTTCTCCATAAATAATGAAGTTATCTAATGATTCTTCACAAAATTAACAATACTAACAAGAATAAATGGGAAGCACGGTACTTCTACGAGAAGACATTTATAAGGGTGTATTCTTAACTTCATGAAAATGAATTATTGAAGAAAATCACATTTAGTAGTCAGCTGAAATGACTTCTCTCATATTTAATAGATTACCATTATTTCCAAACGTGGATTATCTTGTTGCAAATTTATGATTTACAGAGCTCATTTTCACCTTTTCATGTGAAAACTTCAAAGGTCTCACATCACACCTAAGTCAACTGCATACTATACTCGTTGTCACTATCATTGCAACAATCACAGCAGCGACCAACCGTCACCCACCAACTTCCCTGCTGTTTCCACCATCACCATCATGCAACCACCAAAAGTGCTGCCACCAGCTCTGGTTTCCATGATTCCATCACCAGCTCAATATTGCCACAACCGTCATTGCCATCACCATTATTGCACCATTAAGAACACAATCGCTACGATTGGTGCTGCACAGCTGCTGTCGTTACCACAACCATCACTGATACAGTTCTCGTCAACATCATTACCATAAAAACGACCATTACTGCCATCACTGTACCATTGTGCCTTGCCATTGCCACAACTAATTTCTGCTGACACCCACGCCTCAGAGGTTACAACTGTTGCAGCCAACGCAGCTGCCCTCCCTGCCACAACCACTAGAAGTATTATTACAATTTTTGTTCCCATCATGCGTCTAACGTGCAGCCATCGCCAGCAACACCACCGTCTTTTCTTTTACAAGGTCATTAATGAATTTTGCTAAGGTGACTAGATTATGCTTCTATCCTTACTGAAAGCACTAAATTCCATAATATATTATTCATATGGAGATAATACATTTATTATAATTCATTCGAGTAATGTCCTTTCACAACTTAAATTTCTAAGTTCATAACATTTCCTTAGGTACCATTTGTTTGAATTTTGGATTTTGCTTTTTCATTTGTTGTGTGTGTGAAGTACCTTCAGAGTGTGAACCAAACCATGCCTTAACATCAATTTAAGTAACAAGAGAGAAAAGCCAGTGCGAGAGGAACAGGAGCAAAAGTATCAATTTTTAGATTAGTTTACATTCTGTTTTCTACGGCAATTTCATGCTTATACATATAATGTGAAAAAATATACAAGTATGTAACAAATTTATTAATATTTTTCAAAAAATATATATATATTATACAAGTGTCAACTAAAGTTTAGTAAAAGAGAAACACCCACTAACATCAAGAGGTTGTAACCTCAATTTCATCCATTGCTTTTCAAAAGCTCCATGAGCACTTTGGTTCAAGTTTCTTGGCAGCCAATTTTTAAACAGTCTCATTAATATTTTCAACCTCAAATTTAGATGCTAATAAATGGAAAATATGACAATAAACACAAAACTTACTAAAATGATAAGTTTACAACTCACTTGGAGTAGCATGGAGGCTTTCACACAAAGGATTCCTCCAGACAAGGAAAGAGCACTACTAGAATTTGAAATGGTTTTCAAGTTCTTGGTTGATTTAACACATAATATTACATCTTCAGCAGCATCGCAGTTCAACAATGACCAGCCATCATCGCTGAATCCATTGACAGCACCATTGAAGCTCCTGAAAGAGATAAATGAACAAATAAAAATCTAGAAGTGATGCACTGAAATAGTATACAGACGCATACTAATGCAAATATATTAGTTCATATCTATAACATTAAAATAAAAATATAAAGTGCAGAGGAGCAGAACAATGAAGACCAGAAAAGATGTGGATTTTACCTGCTTAATCTTTGACTAAAAGATCGCAAAACAGCAGGCTGCTTGCCCAAAGCATGTGTTACCCCAGAATTTTTTTCTTGAGCCATTTGCCCAATATGGTGCAGTGCCTTTGTAAAAAATGCTTAGTTAGTTCCTCTAAAATAAGAACGTATGCTTCAATTTTCATTTGAATTAATTAGACACAGTTGAAATAAGCGGTGACTGCAACTTATAATAAGGTAATATTGGGGACAAAATGCCAAATCTAGAAAATACTTAACTAGCTTATGCAGTTCATCTTTTAAGATAGGCAAATTGTAGAACTCCCTTTTGATCTGATTTTAAAAATAATAGGAATCCTAAACTTATGATCCAATAGAAGTGACCCTTAAATTTCATTTCAATTACATTAACTTTTAACTTTTACTTCATCTTACCCTTGTGCATTTGAAAATAAAAGACCCCACTCCTATTTTGCTTTAACAAGCACTTTCTTTTTTTCTTCTGTAGCTGGCATTACCCTCCATTCATCTAATAACTTTGCATCAAACAACCTAGTCAAACTTTTCCTTGGTTAAATGGATTTTTGTGTCCAAATCAATACACCTCTTAAGATGAAAAGGGCAAGTGAAAAATTGATTGTAGACATTTGATTTTGTCACTACCGCAAAAGGGGAGGGCAGCAAAGTCAAACCCACACACCAAAACAATATGGGACTCCCATTTCTATTCATGTCAAGATGGTATGGGAATCAATGCCAAGTCCAAAGTCTACTCCAATAGTTTGCTTGTGGATGCATCAATAGTCACAGCCTATGCAAATTGTACCTTGGCAGGTTTTCCATAACCACAACTTTTCTAGGCAAGCATGGGGTCTAAAAAATCGATTAGTAAACAAACTCCGACAAAGAAGGAATCACGGGAAGGTATGGTTCATGTTGAAGTATATTAATATACTTCAACAGTTCACACAGGGATGCTTCAACCTTTAAAATCAAACAATCAGAGTACAATCTAAATTCTCCAAGAAAGATATTTTAACGATGAATAAAGAAGAACAAGAAAGTTATTCTAACAATGGGTGAAGAAGAATGACACCAAAGGAAGAAAAGCATAAGAAAATGTCCTTAAATTTTACTTTAGAGAGCTCTTAGTTCTCAAAGATTCTTCTGTACATCAACTCAAAATAATTGGAAGTAAAACAAAAACATAACAATTATATTTTGGAAAAACAAGACTGCATACAGTTTAGCAACATCCGTATAATCGCAGAAGAAGCATCATTGACAAACAGGTTCTCCACATAAATCTCGCTGACTCTGCAGCAGGATATGTTGACTTTGCAAGCCACATTTTTGGGCCCAGCATAAATTTAAGACTAAAGCTTCCACTCAAGTAGGACTTCTGGCCACTGTACCTATGCAGCCGCCTCAAATTCTGATGACACAAAGCCATATGTAAAAAGTTTATGAACCTCAGATTTGTAGCAATTAGGAGAAATGGCCTTCCACAGAAGGGCACAACACCAGAACAATATGACTAATCAGGTCATGGCCATCAGTATGGTACAGAAGTAACAATTTTGTTTTTTTTTTTTTTTTTGAGAGATAGTAGAATTAATCCATCATACTTATATAAGTCAAGAACAGAGATTTACAAGAAAGATGTAATTCCAACGCATAGATAGACACTATCAAGATTCAAACTGTCATAACATTTGTCACTCACAGCAACTGTAATCTTCTGAGCCACAAGTTTGGATGACTCATAAAGAGGTCGCAGCACCTCAGGAGCACTCAACGCCTGCAAGGGTAAATTTAAATCAACTCTAACCAAAAAAAAAGGGTCAGAAAGCTAACTGCTAGTGAGGAACTAAACCTCAAAATCCAGGTGATCCACGATGTGAATTATTGACCCTCCCCCCTCACATGGTCGAATCAAATATCCACTAGCCAGCATCTTAGCTCTTATGAATTGTGAAACAAGAGATTGGCTTGGCCCAGCACCAGAACCAGACATCGACTTCTCACATACCTTGACATATTGATATCAAACATAGTAATAAGCATATTAAATAAGAGACTGATACTAGCAAGTTTCTGAAAATCTCATCAGAAGACTGTATCAGCTTGAGTATTAATAAAAGTAGCGAACCAACAAAAATGGAAAAACTTATTTTAGTCCCAAGGAAGTAATAGGAACTTGTTGGTAGGCCAAAAGCAGAATAAAACCTAATAGCATCATTATTTATTTATTTATTTTCTTTCTTCTCTTCACCAGTCTTGAAACCTAGACCTGGAGCTTAAGACCCAAACCCACCGAGACCAAGGTAGACAGGTAATTTTTTTTTTTTTTTTCCTTCTAAATGGCTTAGATGACTCAGGATGGACCTATGATAAAAATGGTCCTGTCAGGGACCAAGGGCGTTGTAGCCTAATGGTATCTCCTCTACCTCCAAAAGTGGATGGTGATGGTTCAAGTCCCCATAGGGGGCAAATGGGTGTGTGAGTTTCTTGCCAAGGCAAAATATATATATATATAACTACTACAGATTATTGAACTTGATAATAATATACATTACTGAGGGCTAAAATACCACCGAAGGAATAAGTTACTAGATTCAACTGTTAATCACTACTTTGTTAAAAGAGCCACCAAAAATTTTGGACTCATCAGTTAAGCTTGCAGGAAAATTGAATCATGCTTTTTTGCACCATGATATGGATGTAGGAAAAACCAGATGTTAAATTACAAGAACATTTTATATAATACACCCCCATGAACATTGATTTCCATTTTATATATAAGTAAAATCAAAATGCAACATAAAATAAGACCATACCACAAGGCTGCCATCTTCAAAAGTTAATGTATATCTCAGCGTCCAGAAATCACATGCAGGAACCAGTGTAGTAGGAGCATAAAACTGAATGCAACTGTTAGTGTTTTGTGCAAGAATAAAAATAGTACAAGAACAACAATGGTATCAACTACAATTGTAACAACAAAAACGATAGTAGATCATCTGTGATTGTGTTGCTGTAAATCCCCGGGGAATAAACAGAATTTGAAACATCCTACTAATTTTCTTACTTGCATGTAGATCAGTTCAATTGTTCCCCCATTTCCAGCAGAAAACCTGGCGAAGACTTCTTGGTTTCGACAATCACGGAACCAAGATGAACGGTCTTTGAGAATCTCCGCTATCTACCAAAAATGCAAATCAAATATTAGTAGGTTCTAGTGAAGTGAGTAACTACCAGAAATGCAAACTCAAATATTAGTAGTGAAAATAATTTAAGGAGAAACTCAAAACATACAAATAGTTGCACTGTTCTGAAATTCATGGATAACCTAATATTTTAGAAATTTTTCTTAGCTGGAGATGCACAATTTATCTAAGAAATAGTATGCAGCTACCAATGATAAGCTGTGGCAGTCATATAGAATTTGTGAAACTTGGTTCACTATAAAAAACCATACCTTAGTAGGTTCCAAAGATACTAAACTGCTGGCTCGTGCAGCCACTCCGCCACAATTATGTGAAATAGCAACAAGCCCGACCGAATCCAGACCAGGCTAGTCAAAAAAATATATGAATAAATAAACAGTTAAAAGATTCCGTAAGAATTATATTGACATTTATACTTCAACTCATGAGATTAAAGATCAAAGTTGACCTATGCAACAAACAAATATTTATAATCTTATCTAGAAAACTTGTATTAATTATTTTAAAACAACAGTTAAACCTTCATTCCAGGAATTGGGACCCATTCAATAGCAGTTCCTGTAGCTTTTAGAAGGAACTCTTGCATGGTCTCCTCTGCTACCGCAAGGAGTCTGTAATATAGAAAGGAAATCAAATTAGCCGCAAAAATTGAAAATCAATGCCATGCACACACCTGAGATGGAGTTCTATTAATTCACTGGAATTCAACACTACCCTGTGGGATTCTCAACAGCCATTACAGAATGTTGAGAAGAGTTAACCGTTGCCTCGTTCCTTGTGTTAGGAATTGCTACAGATACCTGCATCAAGATCATATTATCTCAAAAGATATCATAAAGATTCTAAAGAACATTGTCAATTAATTTATAATTTGCATCTTAGACAGCAAGAGACATTTACTACCCCACTAAATGGAAAGACCGTAAAATTTATAATTTCTCCAAAATTATGCTCATGATATACAGTAGGTGTCAATTAATTGTAAGTAGTTTGATTCTACAAAATCACTAGGCAGAACTACTACAAAAAGAAGTACAGCCGAGACTGTCTTCAATTGTTGAGAAGAAAACTGAATATGAGAGAGTTTCTGGATTTCTGGATTTCTGGATTTCCTTTACTGTGAGTAATTCTGGTTCTACTACAAACATATGAACAAGTTTTCAGATTTCTTCGCTGGAAATTTCTTCTGGTTCCTTTCAAAAATTGAATCATCAAAAACTTGTAATGTCTATACACTTATTTAAAATAAAAATAAAAATGTCTTTACTGTAGGTAATTCCCTTGATAAACCAAAAATTTATAAGAAAATAGTATTCCCTCCATTCTATAATAAGCGTCACGGAAAGGAACATGCATTTAATGCATAGTCCCCCTTGAAATTTACAAAACTAAACAACAAAATTAAACAATTACTTTTTTTATTTGAAAATTGTTTTCAAAAGCTAAGGACAATCTGGAAAAGTTTAAATTTGGAACAACTTAAATAGGGAAGTGAATACTTATTCTGGAACCACCCAAAATGGAAAACAGGACACTTAGCCTAGTTGAAAAAGACTTGGGTCCTGGTGCCTCATGAAACATCAAGTCTCGGGATCGATTCTTGCTAGGTGCAAACAATTTCTTGGAGGGGGGTGTGTGAGTACCAACTAGGGAAAAAAAACATCCACATATGTATGAGTTACAGTTTATGCAGGGTCGGGATCGAGGGAAAAAAAAAAAAAAAGAGGATGTATCTCATCAATGGTAACGGGGTTAATTTCCATCCAAAGAAAAATTATATTTTTTTCCCAAATCAAAGACCTTTCATATTGTTATTCCCATTGCAAAATAAAATTAGCAACTAAAATTAGTCTGCTTTACCAGAAGGAATTTCTAAAATATGTTCTAAAACACAACAAAACATTTTTTGTTAAAATTCCCATCCTTGTTAGATGATTGTGAGTAGCATTTTGGTAAGGTTCCTGATTCAAATAATCACAAACATTGAATGATATACTTCCAACAAAAATCAATGAATTTAACAAGAATTAAAAATATGCCTTAGCAGATCAAATGGGAATTTAGCACGTCCTAAAGCCAAAAAAATGGGGGTAAAACTAAAATACAACTAAACAAAAGCATAAACAATATATAACCAAAAAAAATGCAATGGATGGCCATACATATTGCAGTTGTTGCCGCATATTTTCATTTTCAAGCACCAGCTGTGACACCTGTTTCTGAAGGCGATCATTCTCTTCCATCAAAAACTTGTTTGTTGCAATCAATTTCTCGTTCACTAACTGAAGTTGGATAGCTTCATTCTTCTGCTTATCTCGGCACCTGTGAGATGAGAAAGGGAGAAAAGGCAATTTTTCTTTCATGCTCAAGTAGCTGATTTCTAATAACTGAAGCTCCTCACTATGAGAATTGTACAAGAGAAGACAAACGCAATGAGTCGATATCCATGCTCAATTAGCTGATTTCTAATAACTGGAATAAAACTCCCAATATAATAATTTTCAGAAAGTTGCAAACTTATGTGTGTGTGTGTGTGTAAAATAAATTGTAATGCATATTAGTCCCTCCATAAGTGCCGTTATCATTCAATACGAGGTAACTTTTTGGAATTCGTATTAGCAATGGCTGAATGCCAAGTATATAAATTAAGAGCCATGTTTTCCATGGAAAAGAACCAGAAAAGGTAATCATCTATGAAAGAAAACAATTGGCTTAATTGGATAATGAAACACATGAAGCCGCTATTTATTTTAAAAAATAAATAACTAAGAATTTGAATTTGTAGCAAATCATGTAAATCAACAAAAGCACAGCAATTCCAAGCATGCACAGAGTCAAGAAGGGCCCAGTGGGGGTGTCCGCCCACGACTGAATTTTTTTTATTTATATTAAATTCCTAAAATTTTGTAAAAATTCTAATGATGTCCCCCGCTAAATTTTTTACAAAATCCATTATACATACTTGTCCCAAAATTGCCACAATCATCTCCTCTATCTCCCTCTCTAAACTTCACAGACATTGACTTATCTACTTTTGAAGCTCTCACTAATCCCATATCCCTAAAATATATCTCGTTCTTTATAAATCTCGTGAATTGTACAGGCTATTCTTCAAATCAGAGATTTTGAGAGTGATGAAGAGTTCTCTCTTTCTCTCTTTTCTTGTTCTTCTCTCTTCTCTTTTTTTACAGTTTTGTGCAACTTCGAATGCTAGATTTTTATCTATTCATGCTTAGTATGAAAATACCAAATAAGTTAAAGTTCTTTTGTTTATTACTGTAGTATGATTTTTTTTTTTTAATCTTATCATTGTTCAAGGTCGCCCCCTCTCGAATTATTTTCTGGCCCTTTCACTGATTCCCAGCATACAAGATCAACAAAACAGAACTGATTTTTAATAGACACAAGGCTTATAAGCAAACAAAGGTAGGAATCAGCTTTAATAATATGAAAGCATAACTAATTAACCATTCTCAGCTCAAATATTATACCTGCGGTTCTGAAACCAGACTTTGATCTGATTCTGATCAATGTTAGCAAGAATCGGGTACTCGTCGATCAGTTGCTTCCTGCGTGACAAGCTCGGCTTTGTACACTGAGCATACGCTTTCTCAAGAACCTCAATCTGTTCGGCAGTGTACCTCATATACTTTCCAGCATCCTCACGCTGATTCCCACCTCCATTCCTGCCGCTACCGCTGCTGCTACCTCCACCTGAACCCATCACCACATCATTTCCAGCCATTGAACTCAAAACCCACCAATGAAGATTGTGAAACAGAGAAACAGAGACTGTAAAACTGTGTGTGCTTGCTTAAAATGGTAAAACTGTGTGTGCTTGCTTAAATTAGCTGTTTTGGGAATCAGATTGACTTTGTAAACTCCGTCTGTGGTTAGATTAGGGGAAAGTGTAAGAAGGTAGTAAGCAACTTGAACACTAAGCCACCAAAAAAGCACCATAGTGGGCTAGTCACTCGTAACGCTCAAATTTTTCTTGTTTGTATCTGGGATTTAGAGATAAAACTTGAAACTGACCTGTTTTCGCTCTGAACCTCCATGCACTGAAAGTGAGGCAAGCGGTTTCGTTTGTGCCAATCTTCTTTCAACATCTGTTTCCATCTTAAACCAACTCATTAATAAATTGTCAGTGTAATAAACACTCATTCCGGGTCAAGTATGAACAAATTTATGCAATAAAGTCTTCGACATTCAAAATCACCATCCTTACATCAATCTTACAATAACTACACTATTGGGGAGAGAGAGTGTGTTTCAAATAGAGCCTGGTACATACGATATATGTGTGTGCGCGTATATTGTGCGTGTGGACAGAGAAAGGCAATCACAAATAGGGATTCGCATTTGTGTTACACTCTGTGATGATACATATGGGTGTGTATATACATATATGGAAATAAAAGAGTTCAGAAGATGTTTTACTGCATTTATGCAACAATTGTCTGTTCTATACATTTCAAATGACTACGACAAATGTCGAATTTCAACAATTAATAGTAACATCAACGAAGAACAGAAAACCTAGGGCACCATTTTTTCCCTTCGCGAAAACATACTCTATTTTTTGCAGTGTCTTCCAATGAATTTGAAAACAATAACAGAGACCAAAACGCTATTGGCACCATCGGTCACCGAACAGCGATTGAATAGAAAGACTGCGAAGGCAGCGAAAGGTTTTTGGTGGTGGTGGTGGTGGTGTTGTGTGTGTGTGTGGGGGGGGGTGTTGGGGGGGGTGGTGGGGTTGTTGTTGTGTGTGTTTTGAAGGGAAACGTGGAGGGAAAAGAAAATGATAGTGCGAATCCTCTCATTTTGTTTGGAAAAGAAACTATAAATAAATGTTTTACTATAAATAAATGTTTTATTATATGAATCCTCTCTTTGTTTTCAAATAGCATTTCTTTCTTTATTTTTTCTTTTATTTTTTTCGGAATGTCATAAATAATAATTAGCTTTTTATTTTCTTAAGGAATGTAATTTAAATTTTTTTTGCATTGAACCAAATTATGATGATTCAATAAAATTTTAAAAAATAAAGTGGGGTGGATAAAAGAACTATGTGCAAGGAAGTTGTTAAACTCAAATGGAATAGCATGCCAATAAAAGTTTTGAAATATATATATACACATATATGTCTGTCACATTTAATATAATAAATAGCGAGTTTAAAGTTTAAACTTCAATAGTCAATATGAATAGTAAAGTGGAAAGCATTTGCATAATAGAGTGGGGGTGTCATGACCCTCACATGCATTGAATCCTTCAACATTTCTCTTTTTAAAAAATAATAATAATAAAGTAGTAAATTGTTTAGCAAGATAGTGGACAACACTCGTAGAGTATGATTGGTAAAAAAAAATTAACACTTTTTAAAAAGTGAATAGATAATTTTTCAAATGCATACGGGATGCCCAAAGTAGATGAAAAGTATTTTCAATTGTGAAAAAATGGTTACATAATATTATTTGTAGTTTCTTAATTCATGTAAATAAGTTAGTCAGTTGGCTTAGCCCAAGATTCTGATTGGGATGTCAAGTTCGGGATGGGTATCTCTATCCCAAACCCGTCCCATAAATAAAAGGTTATTCCTCACCGGCATCAAATTTTGACTTAGTTAAGAATATCCTAATGCACATATTTCCTCAGTCTCAAATTAAATGTTGTCTTTTTAAAAAATAAAAAAATAAACGTCTTTAATTTGGGACTGAGGGAGTATATGTTAAGAAAAATAATTTAAATTTTAAAAAATTTAAGTTAAGTTTTGTAAAAATAAATAAATAAATGTTGCCAAATTAGATAAATGATAATGGGATAGATGAGTTATCTTTTTTTATTTACAAATTTACATCCCTCTAAACATTGGTAAAAGAGAGGAAGGAAGATAAATTTACAGTACCATCCTTCATAAATATTAGATAAACACTACAAACACGAGAGTGAGTGATGAGTATAATGATAAAAAACAATTTAAAACTCTCTTCCTATCTCTCAAACTGTACAAAGTAAAAGATAAGATTATTATATTTTCTTCATCCAACTGAGCAAAAAGAGTGAAGAACACAATCATTCTCTAGAGATGCCTCATCTGTCTCTTTTTATCTCCCTTCCATCCACTTTTGTACCCTCTTACCAAAGGAAACATAAATAAATATGTGTATATATATATATATATATATATAACACTAACAAAAGAATATGTATTTATATATCTATTATTGATAGACATGAAACCAGTTTTTACTTTCTTCTCAAATTCATCCCTAACCATATTAGAATGATCTCAAACCCATTTTAATAGGGAAGGAACGGTCATGGGCGAGTTAAAATAACATCCTTAATTATTATTTTCAAATTATAATTTTTTTTTTCTATTTTTGAGTCATTTTTTTCAATATTTTGATACTTCTTGAAGCATTTTTCTTTAAACAAAGACAATGAAAATATATATATATTACTTTGTTACCCAGCAAGGTATTTTTCTAATTGCAAGACAAAAGGCCATTTTATCTCACATAAGTAGTGATACTTGGCCGAAATCTCTAATTGTGAGTTTTTGTGTTTCAACGCAAGTTGTGAATTGCTTGGCAAAATATCATATAGTGAATTGTTTGGCTTATAATTTTTTGTTTTGATTGGCCATCTTAACCATATATAATAAAGTGAAATGTCTCACTTATTTGTACTTTGTAAGACTAATATTTCTTTCTATATTGGGATGAGACAACGTTATTGTGGTGGGTCCACAACCATATATCTTACAAGTCACAAGTCATGATATTCAAGCGGACTAGTTAGACTTCCTAATTCAGCGCTAAATGCAGAAGACGGTAAGTGATTTTTAAAAATAAGCGTATTTGATAAAATTTTAGGACACCGCTAGCTTAATATGGTAATTACCGCTTAAAAGATGCCAAAATTTTAAGCGTTAGAAAGGTTGCTTATAGCTTATCGCAGAACACGGTAAGTGGTTGGGTTTAAAAAATAAATTTTTAATGACTACTCTACCCTCATATAATCGTATTCTCTCTTTAAGGGTTTCTGTTTGCGATTTCTCTAGGGTTTTTGTTACTTTTACATGATTGAACAAATTCGTAAAAAAATATTTTACCTATAATATTTTAAACACGACAAATAGCCTTTTGGTTATATTTAAATTGATTCATATATATTTAGTTGCTTGCTGTTGCTAATGAAAATGAATTACATGGAACAAATTTCAAAAAAATAAAAAAACATAATTCTACCTAATATATTTTAAACTATTACCATTCATATTGATTCATTATATATAGAAAATAATTATTTATATAAGAATTTTATTCAATACTTTCTTTAATATTGTTAACACTATTTTTATACCCTACATAAATATTATGTAGTTATTTATATTTTAAACTGTTTTTACTACTATTTTTTTAGTAATAATATTTTTAAATATTTATTTATCATGCAAAAAAATATATATTTACTTATCATATACTTTATTAACCATTTTAAACATATTACATTGTAAATAAATATTATTTGTGTGATGCTGCATACACATACATCCGAAGATTTATGGTACCTTATCGTAATGTACGATGTTGGTTAGCTGACTTTCGAAATGGTGGTCGTCTTAGAACAAAAGAAGAGCTATTTAACCATGCACATGTTGGAAACGGCATTAGAAAACGCAAACTTTGGAAGGATTTTTAAAAGATTCCGCTAAGAATTTTTTGCGAATCTATTGACGAGCGCGTTCCTCTCTGCGAGGGGATGAACGTGGTATATTTATTTTCTCAAATCCGTTTCCGGGTGAATGAGAAATTGGCTCCAAAGTAAGTGATTTATAAAGCCTAAATGGGTGTGAATAAAGTGGAAAATGCTTGTCCCACATCGAAAAAGTAGCAAAGCAACCTTGAGTATATATATATCTAGTATGGGATTTGGGTTTGGGCCCAAGGGCACCCAAGTTTTTAAGAGGGGGAGGACCTAGGCTAGGCTGGATCCGAACCAACTACCACACACGCGCGCACCGCCCGCCCGGTCGGGGCGGGGCTTAATTGTAAAATGGGTCTAACCTTTTTACACAAAGTTGGACTGGGCCTGTGTGGTTGAAATTTATATTTGTCTACTGGACTTATTTAAGTGGGCTTGCGGGTGGAGCACGCTGGGCTGGGCTGAATTAATGGCCGAAGTTTGCTTGAACCTAAATCAGTTTTGGCTTTCTAATGTCTCATTGGTCCACGATGGTTGCATCCATTCGGAATATGGGTGCACCCATTTGGAATAGGCACCATTAAGCCTATAAATAGCCCTCATTGGATTCATTTCAAGATATACCAAATTCAGAACAAAATCTTCTCTCTTCTGAATTTACTTCTCCCTCTTTTTCTTTATAATCTGTTTGGGTTCGACCCTAACCAATTGGGTTCAAACCTTAGGGATTCTGTTTGGGTTCAACCCTAACTAATTGGGTTCGAACCTTAGTCACTCACTTCGAGTCCGAATCTGAGTCTGAGAGTACTTCACCGAGCCGGTTCGCCTATTCCATTGGTTTGAAGTGCTACTACCAAAGGAAGAAAAGTCGTTGTATCCTGGGAGATAGACGCCGAAGAGTCCGTTAGCACCGTAGCGGGGCGTATCCGTCTTAAGGCTATAGAATTAAATTCTAGCCTCGACTTTAACAGGTTCTTTTATTTTATAGTTTTATTTTCTTGATATTAAACTATATAAATATATATAAAT